TTACAGCCTTTGCCCGACCTTCAGTCTGCTTCCTGCATCACCAATTTCCATTCTGTCATGGCATCCGATGAGTCCGGTCAGGGGCACCCCGCCATCTTCGCATGAAGGCGCATTCGCGTGTCGGGCCTCTACGGGGCGACGACCTCATCTGGGGGTTCTTGGCGCTTGCAAGCGGGTTGGGCGGGAAGATGCGGGACGTTGTTTCCCCCTGGGGAAGCTAGCACTGGACTCTGGAGAAAGGAGACGGACGGGAAGCACAGATTGGAGCGAGGTAAATTCGAAGGACTCCTGCTAACTGATGGCGTGTTGTAGGAAGAATCTCTTGACTGCCAGCACCGCGGGGCACCATGTTGTGGGAGCCGAGGCTCAATTGCGCTCCAAGGGCGCGAACCCAATCAACATCCACAGCAGCGCGGAATTGCGCCGACCCAGCAATGCCTCGGTGGCTTCGGTCAACGGATCAATTGCAGCGAATCCCGTTGCCGCTGCCGCCGCCGGTGTGAGCATGGGTGCGACACCCGGCATTGGCGCCGGGGCTGGAGTTGGAGTTGGAGTTGGAGCTGGAGCTGGACTTGGAGGAGCTGGCATTGGACCAGGCGTGCTTGGGGGTCTGTCGGTAACCGGCGGCTCTTCTGACGGACTCGAGGGCCATGTTCCTCACATGATCTGTAAGTCGACTCTTTTGCGCCTTGTCTGTTTCTGCCTCCTGTCACTTTGTTCTTTTCCGTCCTGGAACATTCTTAGCGTGTTATTCCCTCCTAGCTGCTAGGTATGCTTTGCACCGCCGCCGCATGACCCCCAACCCCTATCAATTTCCGTCTTCCATGTTCGTGTTTGTGCTCTTTTTGGTCGCTCAGACCTTTACCAATTTTTTTTTTCCTCTGCCTCGTGCGGTTCCTGGTTTTGCCCATCGCTCCCAGATCCGGGGCTCGGACTGGGGGAGGGGACGACGGAATGGGGGGGCAGTCCAGTGTGGAGGGGCGGCCTTGGACTTTTTTTACCCCGTGACCTGGGCCTCCACGTCAGGACTTTCTCCGCCTTTCCCCCCGTATCGTCTCCCCCGTCTCTTCTCCCACCCTCCTCCAGTCATGTCTTGTTTCGTTCCATCTACACCCCCCTCCCCCAGCGTCACCCTCCGCCGTCCCCGGCTCCGTCCCTCCACGCTTTAGCCTCTTACATGTAATCCACATTCACATGCCAGTCGCACTTTTCCATCCTACCTCAATCCTGGCAATCATCATAATCATCATATCAAATCTTACCAATGCGGTCAAGACCAAAGCTGACCACGGGACCTTGTGTGAAATCTAGATCAACGATCGGGCTACCGTAATGACAGCGCAGCTTTGCTCACCAAGCTGCAGTCCGCTGCCGCCGCGGCGTCAGCAGACTCCAACTCTCGCCGTTTGCTGTCCAACTTGCTTGCCCAGGCCTCTCTTTTTGGAGGCATCAGCGGTGGTGGTGGTGCCGCTGTTGCTGGTGGCGATGGCAGGACGAGTCAATTCCTCGCATCTCTCGAGGAGCCTGACCTCCACGCTCAGCTTCCGGCCTTCGTGAAACCACTTCCCGCCAAGATCGCCCAAGAGGATGTCACCTACCTCCACGCCAAGGGGGCCTTGACTCTGCCTGCCCTTCCGTTGCAGAACGCCCTGCTGCAGGCCTATGTCGAATACGTTCATCCGTACATGCCTCTGCTGGAGCTGTACGATTTCCTTGCCACCATCAACGCTCACGATGGCCTGAATGGTCAGATCAGTCTGTTCTTGTACCAAGCTGTCATGTTTGCCGCCACTGCCTTTGTCGACATGAAGGTTCTCCGTGAAGCTGGCTACCCAACCAGGAAGGCCGCAAGGAAGGCCTTCTTTCAAAAGACGAGGGTGAGTGGACCCCTTCTCTGAACCTCCGTCCCTTCGACACCGCGCTAGCGGGACAGGGGTCCCACGCTTTCCCAATCTTCACATGCTAAACGTTGTCTTGCTGCAGCTCCTCTACGACTTCGACTACGAGTCGGATCGCCTCGTCCTCGTCCAGGCTCTTCTCTTGATGACGTACTGGTACGAGACTCCCGACGACCAAAAGGACACATGGCACTGGATGGGTGTTGCAATCTCGCTGGCCCACACCATTGGCCTCCACCGCGATCCGGCTGCTACCAGCATGCCGCCTCGCAAGCAGAAACTGTGGAAGCGCATCTGGTGGTCTTGTTTCATGCGGGACCGCCTCATTGCTCTGGGCATGCGCCGACCCACTCGCATCAAGGACGAAGACTTCGACGTGCCGATGCTCCAGGAGGCTGACTTCGAGCTCGAGGTTCTGCCTGAGGACAACACGGTCATTCCCACCGAGTGCACCCTGCTTCGCGATGTAGCCATGCAGAAGGAGCTTGCCGCTCTCTGCATTTCCAAGGCCCAGCTTTGCATCTGCATAAGCCACATGCTCAAGGCTCAGTACTCTGTTCTGATCAGGGACAAGATGCGCCCAGAGAACACTGTCAACAGCACCATGATGCTGTTCCCCAACAAGAAGTTGGACAATGTGGAAAGTGTGACTTCGGTCGACTTGGAGCTCATGGCCTGGGCGGAAACTCTTCCCCCTATCTGCCAGTACAGACCCCTGACTCCGTTGGACGTCAAGAACGGCCGCTCAACCGTTGCCGTTCAGCGCACACTTCTTCACATGGTCTACTTCACCACCATCTCAGCTCTGCACCGTCCGCAGTTCTTGCCCTCTTCTCCGGTTCACGCCCCGACGACTTCTCGTCAAGTGCAAGAAATGTCTCGGTTGCGTGTCCGAGATGCAGCGATGCATGTCACTCGCATGGCGGCTGAGCTTCACCAGTTGCGTCTCGAGAAGTATCTGCCTACCACCGGTGTGACGGTCATTCTGCCAGCCATGATTATCCATCTTCTGGAAATGAAGAACCCTGTGTCCCAATCCAGGGATCGCGCCACTCGTGGCTTCCGCCAGTGCATGCGTGTAATGGAGAAGTTGCGCGAGATCTACGCCGCCGCCGACTACGCCACGGGCTTTCTCGATGCTGCCCTGCGCAAGGCTGCTATTGACATAAACCTTCAGCAGCCAACCGCAGCCATGACGGCGCAGAACCTCAAGCTGGCCGATCCCACCTTTGGAGCGCAGACTCCTCCGCCTGACAACCTGCCCTACATGACTTCTGGCGAGACCATGTTCGCTGCGAAGCCTAACCCGCAGCGTGACTTCCTCCCTCAGACCATCAATGCGGCCGCCCTGGACTTGTCGGCCACTAGCCCGCCGCATACCGAGAATGAATCTGCCATGGGCGGCCTGACCCCAAGTGCCAGCGGAAGCTCCGAGGAGCCTGGCCCACTTGACCTGGAATTCCTCCAAAATCAGGAGGAAATTGACTGGAACGCCGTCACCGGTACTGAGTTTGACGTCGATCAGTGGCTTCAGTTCCCGCCCGAGGGCGTGAACAACTCTGACGAGGGCTTCATGGCCAACGTCTTTGGCGAGGACAGCATGAACGACGCTATGAACTGGGCCGCGACTGGCGTCGACACAACGACGAAAGAAGGCGATGGTGCTGCTGAAACTGCCATCCTCGCCTAAGTTGATATTCTGATTTGCGTTCTCGGTTCAACACATTTCGCATATAGACTCCTTTGGGAGCATATTTCGAGTTATTCACGATGATTCAATGGTTGGATGCATTTGCGACACACGGAGTCGGGGATAGAGCAAGAAAAAAAGGAGGCTCGATTTTCCGGGAAGGTTCATGTCACGAAATATTTGGCGTTGGCGGCGGGGATGGACTGGTAGGCTGGGCTCATCGGAGTAGGGGGCTTTTGGTATACCCTCATGCGGCGCCTGGCATCTTTGGTGTTTTGTTTTTCATGACTTTCAATTGTCGTATAATGATGCTTAAATTCAATGAGAGGACGATCACAATGCAAATTGGTTCCGGTGAATTGTTTTGTTTCCGAGCGGCCCGGACAAGGGCCGACTCCGGCTTTCGGTATTTAGTGGGGCACATATCGGAGTTCGGTCCGAATGGGGGTCGATGCTCCCAGAGTGCTCCCGCCCCCCGAAATTTGCTGCTCCGGCCCGCGAGGTGTTCGGACGACCGTTCAACCCATTTCAAGTTTCCTTATCAATGCCTTGGCTAGCTTTCTTATGTTTTGCGCCATCTTCCTAGTTTCTGCGTGGTCCGCTCTACGCGACTATTTCTGGTGGCGGGGTTTCTTCCGCCGCAGTGGGTCTCCACACCGAGCTTACATGACCAGCAGGCAGCCATACAAATCCTTCAACTCAGATGATTGCACATTCGTCGTTGCATCCGCCCAACAAAAGGCGAAGGGCTGAGCGGGCGAAGCACAGCACGTCGACATCATCACTTCGCTTCGAAGATCGACCACTCACTTTCTGATGGCGAACACGCGAAGTTGATTCTGGTCGCTCTTGCAAACATCCCAAGGCCGTGTCGTCCAGCCCGACAACGAGAACATGAACACAAGACAAACGTTGCACTAAAGTTTGGCACCCGCGCTAGCTTGGCAGGGTTTGATTCCTTCAAGGTCTACAAACGGAGCCTCGTAAAAGAGAAACAGGAAGGTGGTTTCCGCGCGGCACGATTATTGGTGCTGAGGTGCATGAGTTTCCGCCCCCATGTGGCCTGCCCTAACTGAAGTTCCCTCAGCCTTCTTTCTTTTTCATCAGCTCTGGGCCGGGGCATTGCTGACACCGCGATGAAAGCTCGGTTTCTCGCAGACGCAAAAGAGCAGCCTGGCCACGGAATCCCTGCTCAATATATGCAGTCTGGGTTTTTGGTGTCTGCCTGGCATCCCTCTCCTCACGATGCCGGCGACGATGAATGAGACTGCGTGGATCAGCCGATTTTCGACCGGGTACCCGCCCCGGGGAATGCCAAGGAGCAATCCGTCCAGAGGATTTATCTGCGCTTGTTCGTCCGGTCTCTCGGGAGGATAACGTGAGACCTCAGTTCTGTGTGACAGATATCCAAGATGGAGAACAAATCGGACCACATCTACGAGCTGAGCTACCGTTCGCCAACGACACCGTCGTTGATGTCGCCGGACGCGGTATCCGTCAGCACCACCAACAGACCCCTCCTGTCCGAAGACTCGTTCTACGAAGCCTCAGACGACAAATACTTTGACCGCAAGTCTCGAAGACCGTGGCATGTCCCCGTCGGAGACCCAGGCAACGATGCCCCGAAACGAGTCATCCAGAGGACCACGCCCCGGCTCTTGACTGCGTGGCTCCCCCACGTCCCCGCGATTGCCGTCACCTGCGTGCTCATATGGATGAGCCACTCGCAAATCTTCTGGTACCCCGAGACCGGCCCCGACCTGCCCATCATCGGCCGGTTCGGGAACAAGCACACGGTCATCTCCAACGTCCTCCAGTTCGCGTCCAAGCTGCACGAGTTGATGGTCGTGGCTTCGCTCGCCGCCATCGCTCTGTCGATGTTCCGCCGCAGACTTGTTGGAGACGGCGTCCGTCTCGGGTTCCTGACCGGCGGGTACCGTCTGGGCGATCTGGCGTACCTGACAAGCGGTGCGTTCTGGGGCCTCGGGCGTGTTGGAACGGTGGAGGTCATACTCGTCGTCTTTGTCGTGTTTGGCACAATCATGTCGACGATTATCGGTCCTGCGTCCGCCATTCTGTTCGTGCCGAACCTCGGGTGGTACAACGTCCCCGCGGCTTTCGACAACGTCAAGATGCCTCTGATATACACGCTCGAGGCCGACAAAGCATGGCCCCAGATTCTGGACAGCAGTCTTCACCACTTTGACGAGAAGCAGGACTGCCTCACGACCGAGAGCATCTTCCAGCCGTACTGCTACGCCGGCGGCTTCTCGGATATCTGGAACTGGCTGGGAAGCTTCCGGTACACCGATCTGGACAACAACCTCACGTTCTCGTCCGAGCTCGGCCGTCGGCTCGAACTTCATGAAAACAGCTCCGTGGCGCTCTTCACCACGCCGCCAGCCTTCGTCATGAACTCTCTCGGGCTGTTCACCACCTACATCCACAAGTCCGATAGCATAGGGATTCTTCACGACACGCAACGCTACAAGCTCACGACCAAGACGCCGATGAAGCAGCCATTCATGCAGGGCCGGTGCGCGGCGTACGACAAGGATGAGCTATTAAAGAATGGCACGGAGGCCGTTTTCCCCATGAGCTCCATCAACTGCTACGGGGACGCAGACTGCCTCTCCCTGAAGCGGAACCCGCCCATTGTACAGCGCGACTACTGGAACGTCTCGGGACACTCGACGTCCGAGACGTTCAACCTGCTATACCCTGCTGCGCCGAGCGTCAAGTCCGTCGTGACGGTGGCGGGGACCATGCCGTACGCCTCAAAGGACATGGAGCAAAAGACGTGGGTCTACGCCTGCGCGTTCCTCGGGCGATGGGTCCCCTCTGAATTCAGCGTCGACCCCGAGTCGAACAACATCATGGACTCCAACGTCAGCTCCCCCGACGTCATGAACAAGCTGTTCCACGAGGACGAGTCCAACCGCGCCAGCGTCATGCAGATCGACAAGTCCTGGCTGGCGGGCACGAGCCCCCTGTTCAACATGACGACGAGCGTCTTCATGACGGACACGAACGAGCAACAAAACACCCTCTTCGAGACGTCGCCCTTGCGCATGATGATGAGCCGCTTCCTCCTCCGCCACGAGCGCGCAGACGGCACGTACGTGCGCTACTTCGACACCATCGACGACAGCAATAACCCGCAGGTCGGCCGGTCCGACACCGAGTCCTTCCTCGCCAAGCTCTACGGCGTCTTCCTCACGGACGCCATCGCGCGCATCGCCGCCAACAAGGAGACGCGCCTCGTCTTCAAGGAGGAGCCGGACAACCTCACGTGGGTCGACCTCGCGGTCCAGAACGGCCTGTGGTCCGGCGCGCACAGCTACGTCAGCGTGGCCGACAACGCGACGTTCCCGACGCGCGAGATCTACAACGGCAACTTCGCCGAGTCGGAGCTCGAGATGACGGTGGAGCAGTACATCCAGCGCTTCCGCGACGACTGGGTGCAGATCGACCTGGACGCCGAGCGGCACGGCTACGGGTCGGGCCAGTTCTCCAAGACGCTCGAGTTCGCGCTCGTGATGATGTACATCTACCTCGGCGTCGTGGGCATCTACGGCGGCGTGGTGCTCGTCTCGCAGGCGCTTGACTGGGTTGGGTGTGCGGTCGGCGACAGGCGGCTTGATCTGCGCGGCGTGACGGCGTGGTCGGATCTGCAGGACCTGGTGCTCCTGGCGCTGCGGTCGGCGCCGCCGCCGGACGGGGATTTGACGCATGTCGGGGCTGGTGTCGGGTCGAATAGTGTGTGGAAGAAGGTGGTCAAGGTCAGGGTTGAGGAGAGCGCGCTGCAGCTGGTGTTGCATGACCACGAGGGCTTGCTGCCGCCGCAGAAGGGGGAGAAGTACTCGTGAGGAAGGGATGTGGTTGATGATGATTTTTGACGGCCGAGTGTGTGATACATATACAATACCCAAGTCTTTTGTTCTATAGTTAGATGCATCTCATTCGCGTTTTACACTTGAGGAACAGACACAATACAAGCCTTGAAAGCTTACCACCCACGAGCCTACAAACCAAGCAGAGTGGAACAAGCAAGTCGTCACTAAACTGCAGACCCTCATAACTACTCACGACTGAAGCCACGCCATTAAGGGGCTGCAAGGTAAATTTCTCACCCGGCCAACTCATGATCAATGCCGTCCCACAGACAGCTACTCCGTGTCACCGCTGTGACCCGTTGCATATCCGGCAGCAAACTCACGCGCATTGGTACAGAGCCGTCCTAAACAGGAAACCAGCGTAACCGGGTTCACTCACGCAAGAAGTATCCCGAGGAAGCTGTGTTACCGATGCCATGGGTCAGAGATCCACCACGATGCGGGGGAAAACACAAGACCAGGTTAGCTTAAGCGCCGCCCTGCGCCGGATGTCGACCGGGATCCACCTCGGGGCCGAGACCCCCATCCCGAAAATAGAGCCGTGATCGCACTCAAGAAGGCAAAATCTTCCGGTGTCTTGCTCGTGTCTGACAGAACAATGATGCGTACGTTTACGAAACCTTGCCGGCGTATATTTCTTTTTGGCTTGGAAAGTCCACAGCAACTCCTTCGTACATAGTACGCCCTCATCACCATCAACCCCGTCAGGCCAGTTCGGCGAATTCGCCGAAATCACCGGTTGGACGCCCGGGAATACTTCCTCCAGCCCAGTCACGGCGCGAAAGCATTCAGTCTAAGAGCATTGGACCCTTGGAAAAACCTGTCTTTCCTAGCCAGTGGGATAACACCAAACATAGCACACCCCACTCCTTCCCCATTGCTTATGATCCACCGACGCTGATCGGGACCCCAAAGACGCCTTTTTTGGTGTCACCAACCCCGCCGTGGCAGCGGATTTGCGCTGCAAAGAGTCCGAAAACAAGTTTTCGGGGCATTTTCCCACGCGTGGGACCAGACATTTCATCAAATGTCCCCGGCATCGAAGACGGATGGGAGTCGCCTACGCTAGCCCGTACGAAGACGATGTCACGACAGATCATGCCGGCTTGGTATCGTGCGTCCCGGAGATCGTTCGCCGCAGATGTAACCGGGTGCTGCAGAGTCCCTGCAAATGTGATTGGAGAGATGGGAGACCGGAGCTTTCTTGCCCGGTTGAAGTTTGTTCGATATGACAGACTTGACCGGTGTGCCAACAACACTAAGGGGGCCACGGCGGGGAACAGATTCAGTGTTATATAGATAGATTATAAGTGTGAGAGAAATCTCGGAGAGTCTTTCCGGGTATATCGAAAGTTCTCTCCGTCATACACAAATACCATGGACAAGTCGAGTCCCATCATCGTTGTCGGCGCCGGCGCGTTCGGGCTTTCGACGGCGTTGCACCTCCTCAACGCCCACTATTCCAACATCCTGGTCGTCGACCGGGCCGAGGACGTCCCGTCGCGATTCTCAGCTGCGTCCGACATCAACAAGATCGTTCGCGCAGACTACGAAGACGTCTTCTACACCAAACTGGCTCTCGTGAGGCACCCCTTTCCCAATCCAAGACCGCCAAGTAAGCTCACAGCACTGCAGGAAGCGTTCGAAGGATGGAAAACGCCCTTGTTTGGCCCTTACTACCATCAGACCGGCTACATCGTCGCCACCTCCGGCAGCGCACCCCCAAAAGCTGTCGAGGTCCTTGAGAAGTCCTTGTCCTCGGTGCAGTCCAGGCCAGAGTTCGACAACGAGATAGGACTATTACGCAGTGCGGACGATTTCAGAAAGTTCGTGTGGCAGTTCTCTGGACCCATGAGCGGCTTCAAGGGATACCACAACAGGCTTGCTGGGTACGGTCATGCAGGCAACACCCTAAAGGCCGTTCACCGCCATTGCGCAGCTAGAGGGGTCCGGTTCCTCCTTGGGGATGCCGGCAACGTCACCGACCTGCTGTACGATGCTTCCGGGAGGTGCACCGGAGTGCGAACCGCCGACGGCGCGGAACACGCCGCGGCGAAGACGGTCTGCGCCCTCGGCGCCTACGGCGGTTCGCTGATCCCGGGACTCGTCAAGTTCACCGTCGCCCGGTGCTGGTCCGTGGCGCATGTGCAGCTGACCGAGGACGAGGCCGACTTCCTCCGCGGGATCCCCGTGACAAACGTCCGCGACCTGGGATTCTTCTTCGAGCCCGACCCGGCGACGCGACTGTTGAAGCTCTGTCCGCTCGGCGCCGGCTTCACCAATACCGTCAACGGCACGTCGACGCCGACTGAGCTCCTGTCCGCGAGATCCCAAGACTTTATCCCGCCCGACGACGAGCACAAGTTGCGGACTCTCCTGCGCGAAACCCTGCCGTGGCTAGCTGACCGGCCCTTTGTCGACCGCAAGTTCTGCTGGTTCTCGGACACGCAGGACTCGGAATACTGCATCGACTTCGTGCCCGGGACCTCGCAGTCTCTCGTCGTCCTGTCGGGGGACTCTGGGCACGGGTTCAAGATGATGCCGGTGTTTGGGAAATGGGTCAGGCAACTCCTGGAGACCGGGCGACAAGAGCTGCCGCGCTGGCAGTGGCGGACGCCGGATGGCGAGAGTGATGACTGGGGTAACTCGGTGAGTTGGCGAGTCGGCACTGTGAGGGAGATGAAAGACCTAATTGCAGAGAACGAGGCCGCTTCGAAGGCTCGGCTATGATGTTCCATTCGTGTGTATTTCCTTTTCATTTGTTCGAAGCCATGAGATCACGACAGAGATAGCTTCCATCCGAACTTGCCAATGATATTCTGCCAGTCATGTTGCACAGTTGCAGCCAAACCGTCGTTGAGGTCCCGGAAGTTGTAGATCGTTGCCATGACTTCTGTGACGGTGGAGATGTTGCTGATGGGCCACTTGTCGTCGAGCAGATTCAGCATGTCGAGCACAGCTTTGCGATGCTCGTCGATGCAGCTGGTGCATCCTGCGATGAACAGCGGCCACATTGGAAATGACCGTCGCGGCAGATCTTCGCGGATGACCTCCGCGAGACAATCTATCAACGGCTGCAGCAAGGTCGACATTGACGGAAACCGGATCGGGGCGTGGTACACCTTGAGGTGTAAGTATATAAGCGTGGCGAGTCTGAAGCATTCCGCGCTCTTCAAGAGATAATCCTCCGTTGCGTGGAACTCCAACTCCCGAATGCGTTTCTCCAAAGAAGGGCCATCTTCAGATGTTGCTGTTGACTGCTGCTCGTTGGTCGCCGTCAAACTGATGAGGTCTATCAGCTCAACCAACTCAGTCGAGCAGCCAGTCTGGGGTGGGACAGTCTGCCGGCTCTCTGGCTTCAGGGAGATTCTGTTGAGAGCTTCGATTGCATCGCCGCACTGATCTGATTTGGGGCATTTTGTTTTTGCATCATTCTGGCCAGGCTCTCTGTTTTCTGTCGTCTTCATCAAGATGTATCGGAATCGGAAGTATTGCAGAGCTAAAGCTGCACAATTGGCGCTGACACAACCAGGGTGGTTCTCCATAATCGCCAATGCCCCGCGGAGATGGAGCAGCCAGTCCGGTCCAGAACCTGCTGAGATCTCCAGCGAGGCCTGAAGCACACACGTCAAGACATTCTCCTCAGCATTTGTCTCCGCCATGATGCTGGACCTGAGCTGGCTCAGAGCCCTTCCCTTGTATCGGATGGCGCTGTTGCCATAATCGACTCCGTCGTGAGCGCCTCTGCGATCCCATTCGGCAGCGCTTAGAGCAAGGACTGTCGATAGAAGCGGGCCGTCATTGCTGAGAAGGATAGGCATGACAGACGACTTGAAGATGTTGCTTTCGGTGTCCACGTAGACTTTGCTGTTGCTGATGACTTCAAAGTCTGCTAGTGGATTAGAACGAATCCAATGAGAAACGAAGGCAATTGACGATGTGACTTGCAATACTGTACCAGTTTTGACTCCGTATTCGACATGGGTCGCCATGACGGATTGGGTTTGAGAGGCAACTCATTCAACGACAGATTCGACTGATGCTGGCGTTGCCGACCTGCGGTTATTTGCCGCACTGGGTTCTCGATGTACTGTTGGCAAATGACGGCAAGCTCATCTCGCGCGATATTTACGAAGGAATTATTGGCGGCCGTCTTGAGAGGAAGGATGGGGTGTTGCCCTCGCCACGGTCCGCTCCAAGGTTCTGTGAACTTCAACTCTGAGGTCGGGTCCAGGCTTGGATAGACGCAGGCAACACCGTCTTTTTGACACTTGCCGCATTCGGGTTTGTACTTGTCGCATCTTTTCTTTCTTTGCCGGCAGTGATAGCACCCATCCCGGGTCCGGGATCCGTTACCTGCCATGGCTGCGATGTGGAGTTGCGAATGTGGATTCCGTCGCTCGCACGCTGGCTGTCTTGTGTGGGCTTGGGTTCGTGAATTCGGGGTGTGTTGAGAACCATGAAATGCGGCGATATCCCAGCCCGTTGGACCAAGATTTCGGGGTCTGTTGGAAGTCCGGCCATGTTGGTGGCGACTTGGACCAACTCAAGAAAAGAAACGACTCCTCTCTCCGGCAGCTTGCAGGAGAGACCCCGGTCTGTTACTGGCTGGCCAAGATAAGAATGCAGGAAGCCTCCGCGAGGGAACAAACGCGGGGGAACTAACCGGTCTGATCGGTTATGTAAGCCGATCCCTCTCAATAATTGGGAGAGAGACAAGGGTCTCTATTCTCTTTCTTCAAATTCGCTTGCAGGATTTGTTGCCTCCATTGTCCACTGACCATCGAGTGTGCATTGTGGTTACTCTCGAGGTCGAAATGGGCTATGCTTTTCTCGAGAAGCTAAGGAGCTGTCAAACTTGCAGAATTGCGGTGAAAGCAGGATACAGGACCCGCTGTGGCCGGGTATCCTGGGCCAGTTGGGTCGTATTCCCCAACTGACGAAGTTTGCGAAAGCGAGGAGACACCCTCAACTAATATTGAGGGGTTCGCCTCTCGTAACTTAACAAACAACATCACTGCCATAATTTTTGATGTTTCGGAGTTATCAGACTCATGCCTCGAGATGGCTGAGACGAATATTCAAGCAGAAGTGCCTCCTGAGGCCGACGTGACTGTGCGTACTGGGTGACATTCGCGACATCGGAGTTGCGGAGTCCTGACTCGGATATGGCGGAGAAAAGCTAATGTTCAGGATAGGGTGACACGGATTCATCCCTCGGACAGGTATGTGTTCATGAACGCCGTCATAGTCAACGGTGTGCTTTTCAGAGGTTTAATAACACACTCCCTTTCCAGGATGACTTCTCTGCGACCACGAGTCTCCGTAGTTCAATCATAGACTACCGAGTCGAAAATGGGCGAACTTACCACAGGTATAAAGAAGGCAGTAAGTCAATGTTCAACTCTCGTTTCCATGAGGAGATATTAGCCTTGGAAGTGAAATACTGAAATGTGTTGACAGAATACTTTGGACCCAACGATGAGGACGAGTCGAACAGATTGGACCTTCAACACCACCTGTTTCTTCTCACATTCGATAACAGGTTGGGATATGCTCCCCCAAATGATCCTGACTGGAAGGGCCGCGTACTTGACGTCGGAACCGGCACTGGGATCTGGTCGATTGACTTTGGGGATGAGCACCCAGACGCGGAGGTCTTGGGATTCGACCTTTCGGCAACCCAGCCCGAGTTGTGAGCTCCAATTCACGCGTACGTATTAAAACCTACAGGAAATTGACTTAGTGAAAAGTGTACCGCCAAACGTCTACTTTGAGGTGGACGACTTGGACAATGAATGGATCTATTCCAGACCATTCGACTACATCCACATCAGGGGAATGTCAGGTAGCGTTCGAAATTGGCCTGAACTTCTGAAAAAGTGTTTTGAGTGAGCGCTCTGATCCCCCAAGTCTGGGGCTTTCTTCTCATTCGTGCTTAGGAATCTCAAGCCAGGAGGTTATGTCGAGCTCCAGGAGGCCGAGTCCAACATCTTCAGCGCCGATCGCACATGCGAGCGCGGTGCATTTTACAAAAGCCTCTCCTACGTCGCATCCGCCTTGGAAGTCTTCGGATGTCCCTTCATTCCGCTAGATACTCTGACATCCCTCTTACCAGAGGCTGGCTTCGTGGAAGTGACCGACCGCCGCTTCATCTGGCCCCTCAACACGTGGCCCCGGGACCCTTACTTGAAAGAACTCGGCTCGTGGTCTCGTGAAAATCTTGCAAGTAATACAGCCGGTATGATAATGGCGCCCATGACGCGAGTGCACGGTTGGCGGCAGGAAGAGGTTCAGGTTTTTGCCGCTGAGGTCAGGAAGGACCTCAGTGATCGGGGAAATCATGGATATTGGCCCATGTAAGTGCTGCATTCCATGATATTAACCAATTGTTATACAGAGGTACTAAAACATCAAAAGTCGGGCCATATGGGCCAAGAAACCGTCGGAATAGAAACGGGGTCCTAGGCATCCTCCGTATAAATCTAAAGCGGTCTGCCCTGCGCTGCTCTTCAGCAATTCGGTGTAGTCGGTGCGACTACTATATATATTGAGTTTTCCACCGAGATGCGGGTATCTCAGAGTGCCGGGACTGCGGTGACAGGTTGCTCAACGAACAGGATCGCCCGGCAGTGCCACGGGGTGCCCGGGTCAAAGCCGAGCGTGCGGTAAATATGGGGCAAGCCACGAGGACCCACTCATATCCGGCACCGTGGGGAGGAGAGCATTGCCCGACGTCTCAAGACCACTTTCTGTGGCAAGCGGACAGGTATGGCTAAGCTCAAACATCTATGAGGCTGCAGTTATCTTGATTATATCAAATTCACTTTGCTCATTGGCTGAGCTGGAAGGATTAAGTGGCATGTAGTAAAAGACCTTTGAGCTATCATTGACCCAATTTAATGAGACACCATTCCTTTTTCTGTTTCTACTTGCCAACTTGTTTAGTTCGCAATCGGTTGGGGGATATTTTTGTGAAAACCACGCTCGGGCCTTCATTCTACCGAATCACACGTTGATGTTGAACATTCCCGAGGCTTGAAGTATCCCCGAAGTTGTAGGACAGTTAGGTTCACTCCATATGTCGGATGGTGAACTCACATTGTCCGATCCCGCACCCCGCTTTACTACCTTGAAAACTAGACGACCCACCTCCCCATTCTTTCGTCCGCATCTACTCATCTCTCACTCTCACCTAACTCGGCATCACAATGGAGGACTTCTCAGATAATGCCGCATCTTTGGGCATGGGCCCTGGTTCATTGCCCAAAGCCGAACTCATCAAACCCGCAGAGGTACGCGCACTGGCTGCACCGATGGCGGAAGAAGTCTTGCAGCAATGGGACCTGCTCCGGAAGATTGTGGAGAGACACGAGGCAACCATCCAGAACCGGTGGATAAAGAAGTCCAAATCCAAACGCCGAGGTGTCCTTCTGGCTGCATGGCCCGACATGTCTGAGTACCACAGGCCGGACTTTGCTGCTTTCAGGAAGAAAAGGTCTGGCGAGCAAGCTCGTGAAGGCTGTCTGTGGCCGCATATCAACTTGGAAGACCTCAGCAAAACCGAACCCCTTCTTCTAATGATCAACTCTCGCGGCCGGAACACGCCTGATGTATTCGCCATGAACGACGTCGAAGAGTCTAGATTCGGGCAGGTCAGCAGAACCATGGACATGCCCCGTTTTCTCAACTTGTACTCAATGATGTTCCTCGGAAGATGCACCCCTCAAACATATGGCACCCTTGTTTCATGGGACGATGAGCCTGATGCTAGCACCTGGAACTTTCGACGTACAGCATTTCATCCGGGCGAAGGTCTCTGGATCCTGGAATTCCAATCACGCCTTTACCGATTTCTCGTGGATGTCTGCAAGAGCATCCTTCACGACATCTCCCCCGAAGAGCTCACAGACCTAGAAATGGACATCCCGCCTGAGCCACCTTTAGTGACTGGTAATTCCAACGACTCCATCGCTGCATCACTGGCAGTCACTCGGCTTGAAGGTCCTTACCGAGTTCCTGCTCGTCTCGATATCGCTGGCCTCCAGAGCATCATCAAGTCGAAGCTAGCTGAGGCCGAAGATCATATCTGGGCTCTGCGAGAGGACCCCGATTATTTCAGCGTCACGGTGAGAGATTGGAAGGAGCACCGACAAGAGATGATGCTGGACACCAACGGCAAACCACATCCCATCCATGCTCACGCCCCAGATGTCTTCTGGCAGCGGCTGATTGGAAATATGATATCGAGCGCCATGTTTCCTGTGGAGGTGTACAGATCCTTGGCGGAGAAGATCGATCATCTCATCGATCTCAAAGACCGAAAGTATCGCAACAGAAATTTCAAGCCCGATGAGAGTCTTCCTCACGACTACGCGATGGCATTCTGCAAGTTGAAACACTTTCTACAAATGTTTCGACCGGGCCCGATTTCCAACTTGAAGATGGGATGGCCTGCATCACCGCCAATGCGTCCTTGGTTCCGTCGTGTGCCCCACCAGACCCAACGACCACAATCATCCAGGTCACATCAGTTGGTGATCGCAGCAAAGACGCAACGGTCGCGGAGCTCTTCTGGATTATCGACACTCTCTTTGACGAGAAGCAGTTGTTTCTGACTGGGCTGCCTACGCTCTTGGACGAGCTGGAGCGAGTCACGAGGAAGGACAGGGCTGCTTCACAGATGATTTCCGGATGGGTCGCAGCGCAAATTGCAGATCTCTCGGTGCTATCAGAGTGCGAAAGACAACTGGATCTGTTTCAACCATGGGCAGCATCGTTCGAAAGCGACATTGCCGAGAACCAAACAGAAATCGACAGGGACTTCCATGAGTTGGTGCGTCGCCTGGTACCCATCAACGACTTGAAGATCGGCCTGGCGACGGCAAGAATGGGCATTCCAGACGGGGATAAGTTCAAGTATCTCGTGGAGAGGAAGAGAAACAAGCAGAACATCAACCAGATGCGTGCGGCGGAACGTGCCCTCGATAGCTTCTGGGCCGATATCCAGCAGAGCTTGTGTGGAAGAGACGGTATTTCATCTCGGCTGCGCAACATTCTCCAACGAAGCGTTCAGAGGACCCCAGAATGGGTTGAGACGGCCAAGGCGAAGGCGCCTGCCGCAGAGGGCCAAGACCCAAGTCTAGCTGCGCCGTTTGGTGGTTTGTCGATGCAAGACACGCCGAAGGAAAAGCCCTCACCTCGACCAAAGACCAAGCTGAAGACGAAGGGGGCAGTTCCGGTTGCCGCGACGACCCCTGTCCAAGACCAGGAGCAGCCACAGGCAGCGAAGAGACCTCTATTCAAGGTGGACAAACGTGCTCTCAAAGTCTTCAACACACTGTTCTTCAACCCCTTGACGTCTTCTTCCCCTGTAGAGATTCCCTGGACGGAGTTCCTCCATGCCATGCAGAGTGTTGGGTTTCACATGGAGAAGCTGTATGGATCGGCGTGGAAGTTTACGCCAACAAAGCTCGATGTTGAGACCAGCATCCAATTCCATGAGCCTCATCCGAGTTCGAAGCTGCCGTTTGTTTTTGCCAGGCGTATTGGCAGACGTCTCAACAGGGAATACGGATTGGAGGGGGATATGTTTGTCTCTTTGTAGTGATTTGCTTGTGGGTGAGTTTAGTGCAAGTTGCCATGCCTGCAGCTCGAACGCCTTTGCTGTGCATTTGGAAGAGTATGGAGAGCTCATGAAAAAGATTACATTGACGTATTTGGAGTGTCTTTGAGTTTTGTTTGTAGTCCGGGATGAATTGCAAGGCAACAGGCTGTTGAGACGCCTGCCTACACCCGTACTTGACGCGGGAGGTGATCCCGTTTGCATTCGCTGTTTGATTCTTTCCCATTCGTTCGGTTCCCTCCCGCTGTGTATACGCCGCGGGCTTTTTGACCGTATGCACCTCCCTTCTCACCTCAACTCTCAACCCCTTTCCACCCTCTTCTCGATGCCTTAAGGTACGGCCTTTCCTTATCTTCTTCCCAACCGCCAACGCCCTCTCAACTCGCCAAGCATTCTTCCTCGCAACACATCTCCATCTAGATATTCTAATTTGCGGGATATCTCGAAATATCACCCACAATGCCCACCGAGAGAGACAGCACCCAAGAGTCATCTGCCGATGCCGGCAAGCCCGACTGGACCGCCGTGCAGAGTAAGGTCATGGATGTCGAGATCGTCAAGAACCTTCCTCCTACCGAGCCTGCCGAGAATCCATCTCCTCAGCAAGGCAGTCGCCCAGCTCCTCATAGAGCCGACCAATCGACTTCCCTGGTTGTAGCTCCGCGTCCTCGCCCAACTGGATCCACCCGTGCTGGCATTGCCACCTACCATGAGGCCGCCATCTATGCCAATCTTCGTCACGGAATCCCGGGCAACCAGTTCGACTTCAATGATGAAGATATACAACCTCTCATCAATCGCTTTGCACCGAGTCAGAAGTGCATGGTGCGACACAACAGTGCCTTGACGGCAGTCGAGATCCTTGGACCCCCGCATGCCGTCAGGGCTGCCCAAACGCAATTGTTGGAGCATGTTGCAATGCGCGCCAACTTTGTTGATACATGTGCCGTCCACGGCTTCCGAATTTACTGCTTCCAAGACTCGGTTAGCTCCAGCCGGCCGCAAAGCATTCGTCAGGTCATGGTCTCCCTCTTTCGCTTTTACAGCAAAGATCCCAATGCCGAGAACGACTTTTCGCGAGACCCAATCGATAATCACGAGTGGAGGGAATTCAATGCTGAAGAAAGAAACTGAAAATCTTGAGCTTTCAGAGTGCAAAACTCATCAGGTAAGATCTGATTATTAGGTGCAGGCTGTTGTGGGAGATTTCCCAACGCTAACAGCTTCCTGGGGTCATCTAGACAACGCAAAAGAGTTCATTCGGGTCCGCGGCAATCGATGTTATCACAGCGTACAATTTTCTTGGTCATATTCAGTGCTGAATGATTTGCGGATGATTGCAGGTTGAGGCAGTGCTTCACATGAGTTGTGGTGAATTTCGATTTCACCTTCTTTGTACCCTCTGGGAGAGGTCGTTTATGGTCTAGCCATCCAAGAGAGTTTATGCACATGCACCGGCAGTATCTCCAATAACCCATTTTGAGATGCGATAATGACAGCCCAGAATTGATACTGTCGCTTCAAACTTGTCCATTGGAGCGTCGCGTCCGACACATGTCTCGATCCCATATTGATCGATGTGCAGTCGGCTTGCTCAGGCACTTCCTAATGCCATTCCATATGAAGCCAACGGAGTCAATGGCCAGTGTTTGAACAGAAACTATACCAACTCCTCAAATAAAAAATTCAACGCAACTTTTGTCGTTCGCCCCCGGCTGACAGAATGGGGCCGTGATCGACCGGCCCGGAAAGCCCCTCTCGGCTCGTTGGCTCGGGCCGTCCGCCAACCCCGCACTCCCGGTGGTGTAGACCGAGGCAAGCCAACAGGGCGTTGGGGAAGCGCCGTCACCCAAAAAGCACCTATTACCCCAAACTCCCAACCTCACCTCGCACAGTCTCATTAGAGCTGCCCCCTTCATCTCAGTCACCCATCTCACAGCACAAAGGCAGCTGAACCCTCCAGCTTGGTGCTCAATCTATCACATTTCTCATTCGGGAACTCCAGCCAAGTGCTGATCTACGTCATGGCCACCGATGAGTTACCGCGTAAGCTCTGGGAGCACCCCGACCCCAAGGGTACGGAGATGTACCAATTCTTGGAATCCGTCAACATCCATTTCGGGCTCAAGCTCAAGGTCCTTGCCTCAGAACCCTTATGTCGTGATGCATTCGACTTACACGGTAACAGACGTTCGATGACCTTCACAACTGGACGGTCGCGCACCGCTCCAAATTCTACGGCCATCTCTTCAACTACGCCAACCTCATCTACGAGGGCCGACCAACTTCGGTCGTCGATGAGTCTCTCCCCATAGACGCCATTCCCAAGTGGTTTCCCGGCGTTCGTCTCAATTGGGCCGAGAACATTCTCTACTCCCGCGGCCCTACAGACGCGCCCGACCACCACGGCGTTGTAGGCAAGGAGGATGAGAAGCACGCCGTGACCGAGGTCCGGGAGGGTAACACAGGCGATGTCCGAAATCTCAGCTGGGGCGACTTCCGCAGGGATGCAGGTCGTCTGGCGGCTGCCATGAAGGCGCGGGGGGTCAAGGAGGGCGACCGAATTGTTCTCGTCGGAGCTAACTCTATCGAGACGCTACTGGTCTTTACGGCTGCTACTTGGCTAGGTGCCATCTTTAGCAGTTCATCGACGGATATGGGTGTCAAAGGCATCCTGCAGCGGACCACGCAGGTTGACCCCAAGGTTAGGATGGCGTCTCACTCTGCCTGTTTCTATGCTGACTTTCGTGTAGTTCATCTTCTTTGACGATGCCACGGTATACAACGGCAAAACCGTTGATCTCCGGGGAAAGATGGCGGAAACGGTCTCCGGGATGAAATCATGCCCGTCATTCGCCGGCCTCGTTTCCATCCCCCGTTTCGCCAAACCTTACGACGTCTCATCTATTCCCAAGACGGAGCTATGGGACGACTTCTTCAAGTCCGCAAGCTCTTCTCAGCCCCCGGAATTCGTCCGGATCCCCTTCCACGCCCCCTTTCTCATTTACTACTCCTCGGGTACCACAGGTATCCCAAAGGCGATCGTACACACCGTCGGCGGCGTCATCCTCAACATTGTCAAGGAAGGTCGCTTACACGAGTCTATGTCCTCGGAATCGGTATGTCTGCAGTACACCACGACCGGCTGGATCATGTACCTGGCCAACGTCGCGGCTCTTCTCAATGGTGCCCGTGTCGTCATGTACGACGGCTCGCCATTCGTGCCGGATCTCACATCATTCATCCGCATTCTCGGGGAGCAGCGTGTCACGAAGCTTGGCATCAGCCCTAGGTGGATGTTTGAAGTTGCAAAGAACAAGATAAGCCCACGGGAGGTCACTGACCTAAGCGCGCTGCGCATCGTGACGAGTACAGGCATGGTCCTCTCCAACCAGTTATTTGAATGGTTCTACGACGCCGGCTTTCCGAAGCATGTCCACCTGGCCAACATCTCTGGTGGCACTGACATTGTAAGCTATGCTTGGAACATACACATTTCCCCATGTTAACAGAAAATAGGCCGGCTGCTTTGGCATGGAGAACCCCTTGACGCCTGTCTACGTCGGCGGCACTCAGGGCCCCTCGCTCGGCGTCCCCATCGAAATCTTCGACGCCCAGCTCCCCAACGGCCCCGGCAAACCCGTCCCACATGGGGAGCCGGGCGAACTCGTCGCCACAGCCGCGTTCCCCAACATCCCCTGCTTCCTCTGGGGCGACTCGACCTCCCCATCCTCGTCAGCCTCTAGCTTCTCTTCCGCATCACCGGGGACGAAATACCACTCCGCCTACTTCGCCCGCTTCGATCACGTCTGGGCCCACGGAGACTTCTGCCAGGTGCATCCGAAGACGGGCAACATTGCGTTCCTCGGCCGCGCAGATGGCGTGCTGAACCCCAGCGGCATTCGCTTCGGGAGCGCCGAGATTTACGCCGTCATTGAGCGCAACTTCTCGAACAAGGTGGTGGACAGTCTATGTGTTGGACAGAGGAGGCCTAGCGACGATGACGAGAGTGTTATGCTGTTTTTGATGATGCGCCCGGGAGAGATGTTTGATAAGAAGCTCGTGGGCGAGGTTAAGGATGCGATCAGGAGGGAGCTGACCAAGAGGCATGTGCCGAAATACGTCTTTGAGACGCCTGAGATTCCGGTAAGTTCGAGATGCAATTCCGAGTGCACCTGGCATAAGGACTGACAAACCCCGCAGACAACAGTGAACCTGAAAAAGGTCGAACTGCCCGTGAAGCAGATCGTTTCCGGCTCACACGTCAAGCCCAGCGGCACCCTCTTGAACCCCCAGAGCCTAGACTTTTACTATCAGTTCGCAAAGGTAGAGGAGGTGCTCGCCGGAAAGGAGAAGTTGTAAGATGCTGTGATTAACAGAAGGAAAGATGGGTATTATTTTTCTAGACCAGAAAGACCTACTACAGGCGTAGACCTCTCTATAAACTTCCTTTGATCTCCCCGTTTTCGAAATCACGACACTACCTCATACCCTCCCGAACTCAACCTTTTCAACCGGAACATACTCCGGAAACTTCCCAGCGTGCATTCCATACCTCCAGATCATGTATCCAACCGTCCCCGCGACGCTTCCCAGCCCGGCCGCCCCAGCAGCCGCCCTCAGCCCGCCGACTCCCTTGGCTCCCGCCAGCCGCCACGCCCCAAGCGCGACAACCCCCGCCGCGGCACCTCCGTACGTCCAGTCGTCCGTTTCCAACTGCCCCGGGTTCTCGAGCAATCTCCACGCGCGGTCACGCCACTCAATGTCTTCGCGCCCTTGCATCCTCCCTGCGAGGGCCAGGCCCATGAGCCCCAGCCCAACGGCGGAGGCTGTGCCCGTCTTGCGGAGGAGACGTGGCAGACCTTTCTGCAGTCTGGTAGAGGCTGCTGCTGCTGCTGGTGGTGGTGATGCTGTGGTAGCGACGGGCTTGGCGGCGCCGCGGAGGCGGGAGTACAGACTGCCGGCGGACACGGCGCCGAGACCCACTATCGCGCCGGTGGTGTAGCCCCGGCTGAGGACGTGGACTCCCAGGATCGTGTGGGAGAGGGGCTGGTCTTCTGCGTAAGCCGTGTGCGGGAAGTAGCGGGACATGATTCCTTCGTGAACGTTCTGGATTAGGATGTGGGAGGAAAGGGAAGCAAGCTTTAGAAAATGGGACTTTAGTACAATTGTTAAGAGCTTGCTACGCTGTCGATTAGAGACTGTAATGTTCAAGACCCAGCATTGAATCTCCGAATGGCTTGGCGGGCCGCCTCTTTATATGTTATCCCTATCGTGCCACCGACCGACTTCTCCGTAATCAGTTGGTGCCGTTCAGCTCGCTGGGTGCAGTCGGCGGTCGAGACACCAATTCCCCCGAACATGTCAGCCCGGCTTGTTTGTCCGCGTCCTAACCCCAGAAAATCCGCGCTAGCGACTCCGAATGCGAACAGCGGGCGTTCGACGGACAAGTCAGAGCAGTTGTATTGATCAGTTAAGCGACGGAGAATGCACTAGCATTCGCGTGGGCCAACAGCCGCATCACCTAGCTCCCGCCCTTCACTTGCATCGCGATCCTTGAGTTGTTAAGTTTGTCATTAAGCGTTATCTGTACTGCACACTTTGGGCTCATTTGATGATACACCATGTATGCTCTAATCCTGTAGCAGACGCCGTGTGGTTTCGCGCCATCCAAATAACATTATGGTGGCTTGGGGATGCTTAGTCGTCATCAGTCATCTCCATCATGCTCTCGCCCTTTTCGTCGTCGTCGTCCATCAGCATCGCCCTCGCTCTGCTGACCTTTGCTTTCCCTTTCGCGTCGCGTCTTCTGCCTGCTCGCTGTGCTAGGCGATCTCGACCTGCAGCCTTTGCTATATCCAGTTCGTTTTCGAAAGCTTCTAGGTCGTCGCCATCTGCCACGTCGATGATTGACGTTTCTTCTAGAGCCTTGCTAAGGAGCTCCGTAGCGATGCCGTCTTGCGGGTTGATGGCGAGCGCCTCGTGTAATGGAATGACCGCCTTTTCAGGACGGCCTTCTTCGAGGTAGATGAGGCCCTTCGCACAAAAAATGGCTGGGTCCTTGCCTCCCTGGCGTAGAACCTCGTCGAATTCTACGTGGGCCTCTTTCCAAAGGCGCAAACGGCGATATGCATGTGCTAAGTTTGTTCTCGGCGACAGCCATGCTTGAGGGTCCGAATCAATTTCTGCTGCGATCTTGAGGGCTGCTCTGAAGAATTGGACAGCCTCCTGCGGCTTATCCTGGTGGTATTTGACGATGCCCATCTCGTTGAGCAAGAGTGGATCCGTCTTGCATAATCCATATGCCGTCTTAAGGAACTCTTCTGCTAGTGTCATGTTGTTGAGAGCGTGGTTCTGCATGCCGAGGAAGACTTGTGGAAGATGAGTACCCATGAACAACCTCGCAGCTGTTGAATATGCCGAGATGGCCTGATCATGCTCTCCCTCAGCCGCAAAGGTGTGAGCAAAGCCAATCCATGCCGGTCCAAAATGTGCGTCCATCATGCTAGCCTTGCTGAAGTATCGCCTGGCTTCGGCAATTTTGTCAATAGAAAAATAGTATATGCCCACAGCCAGCCAGGAACAAGGCTCTTCTGGGTGGGTATCTGCGAGGTCGTGGGAAATCAGAAACAATGCATTCTTCATCTTGAGTTGATATAAGCAAGCCAAGTGTAGTGGGTGGATGCTGAAGTTGTACTTATCATCCTGCAGGATGGAGTCGGTGATGGCGAGAGCGTCGCGGTAACGACATTGTGTGAAGAGCAGGTCGGCTTTGGCGAGCAGTAGATCGGGGTTATCAGCCAGGTGGTAGTGTGTCGACAGCGTGTCGCATGCCGCGGTGAACGCCGAAGGCTCTCTGTATTTGGACAGCCGTGTTGTGTAGAGCATCTTGGTGAACTCTGCGGCTTCCTGTGACGAAGATACATCGCCAGAGACGCTGATGGAATCGAAGTCGAGTGACTCGAGGAACTGCCACTCCTCGTCAGGAGACAGTAGAGAGTTGTTCATGAGCTGCTGGAAGGCCTCAAAGCACTGAACGTCTATTTTGACCGCATCCTTGTAGCACTCCTTTGCCCGGTCGAAGGCGTTTTGCTTGGCGTAACAAATGCCTCGGAGGTAGCACATGGCGGCTTCATATTTCCGGTTGGTGGCTTCTTCCTCTGCCTCTTCGCGAAGCTGTCTGTCTCTGGAGCTGCCCTTCGCATGAGCCCCTATGGCCCTGCCCAAGGGGGCCGTGTTCTGTGCCTTCCGCTTGTTACTCGCATTTGAGATGAGATGGGTTGGGTTTCGGTCGCCGAGTACTGACAATGCCTCCTCAAACCTCGATTGCTTGACTAGGCAGTGTGCAGCCAGGTATCGACAGGAGACGTTGCGGGAAACAAGGTCTTGTTTGGCGAGAAAGGTCTGCGCACGGGTGTAATTGCCAGTTGCGAAGTGTACTTGGGCCAACCAAAAGGCATCCTTCTCGTCATCTGGTGGCAGAAAAGAGTCAGAAAAGCTCGCATGGAAGACATTGAATCAAGAGCTAAGGGCTAACGTACTGGTCAGGGCCAGCAACTTGTCGCCGATAAAGATGGCGGAGTCGTATTGGGCTTTGTTTAGGGCATCCTGCCTCCATTCCCGAAGGAACTTTTCCATGGTCGCGAGGCAACGCGGTTCAAGCCAGGGGACCCGAAAAGACAATCGGGATGGCTAATTCGGGAGCATGACCGAGAGACAGCGGCGGAGAGGGGCGGTGGGCTCGGTGAGGTCGACGTTGGACCGTTGGGATGCCGATCAGAGGTGTCGCGAATTGCGGTGGTGAGGTAAGCGCGGTTTGGCGTGTCGTGGACCTGGGCTTTCTTTTCTTTGGATGACGCGCCGGGGATTGGAGGGACCAGGACGTGGATGCACTGTGCACTGTTGCTGCCCAGGGGTGTGGATCCAGTAAATGGCGGGGTAGGCCAACCAGACGACGTTTTTCCCAGGCACACCACGTGGGCGCGAAGTGGTCAAGTACCTGCCCTCCTCTCTATCTGGTGGCTTTCATCACTGGTGTTTCGCGTTGCACCATGTTCGCCGTTATCCATCAGGCAGACGGTGATCTTATTGCATTGAATATGGCATTCGAGAAAGCGGAAGCCACGTCGAGGTGGGATGAACCGGGCAGCCGAGGTCACCGTGGCTCGGTTTAAGGTAAGGAACGCAACGGACGCACGCCTGTCGCAATGACTTCTATTCTAGGGCTGGCTGGCTGGCGTGTGCTTAGACACTGAAAATATCCGCAAAGCACCTGCCGCTGCGCCCAACCTCGAGAAAGCTTGAAGTTAGTGTCCCTGATCTGTCAGCCTCCAGCGCCGATGCTCGCGCTCTCTTCAGGCATGGGCTGTATGCAGTATGTCATGACTCTGGGAAGGCATTCAAACCTGCTAGGTAGCTTTTCGTGGTGGTGGCATGTGTTTCAGGCCATGCATCTCGAGTCCCCATCCGACCGTTGGACCTGGCCTCTGACAGACAGGACAACGACTTGGGGCCATCTCAAGTGCTGTTGCAGACGCATCTGACACTTTGGCCGCATAACGACGAGCCGAATGGTCTGATGGATACCTCCCATGTACCGACGGAGTACCTTTTCCATGGGAAAGAGACAGATAAGTGAGTAACTGCACGTAATGGACGGTGTGGATTGACTGCGGCAGCAGCACCCACTACATAATGCCAACAGCAGGACGGGGAAGCTCCAAGCTCGTGTTAGGTAAAAAGTATGCGCATAGGAGGACAGCGCCGGACGCCAATCCGATAAATGCAGATGGCGAAAAATAGACGGCAGACAGCACCTACCTTAAGGCACCCTGAGAAGACCAAGACCCGTCGGGCTTCCAGGTCAAAAAGCTGTGCTGTCGCGCCCAACGCAATGGTTGGCGGGCGGCATGGGCGTCTCCAGCCCCGGGCCCCAGGGGACGGGACTCGCTGTGACCTCGCTGTGGTGCGCCGTTCCAGCTTGCCCGCCTCCTCCGTCGCGACTCCTGATTGGCTGACTCGTCAGTGGTGGAGTCATCAGGGGTGAGCCAAGCGAGGCGCTATCGCTCTATCCGCCATCGATAGCAAGGTGACGACTAAGGTCAAGAAAGGATGGACACTGATGCCCCATTATGATTTTTTTTTCTCTTCAAGCTGTTCATTGTTCTCCATCAGTTGATAATTCGCCCTCCTCTTCGTCTCACAAACATCGCTCCAAAACACACACCTTACCGATCTCGCATTTTCCTCCACCGTCTGTAATACCCCCAGAATACTACACCTGCACGAGATACCAACAAACACACCCCGTCATCCATCTTTGCTCCGCCTCTGCCTCGAATACTACCTACCTATCCGTACCCTACCTACACTGACCCGGCCTCTTCCCAATCGAAGCTCGCTCGTTTCTCTCCCACCTTCGAGTCTCCAGTGCTGTCCTCCCGCCGCGAAACTGCCCCTGCAGGCCCTCCTCTCAACCGCCCGCCCGCTCGCCCGCCCGCCGCCGCCGCCATCCCGACCACCATCGCATCCTATTTTCATCCGTCTGTCCCAGCCGCCACAACTGCGACCAGAATTGTAAACCGAGGTGCCGCCGCCCTTGAAGTTTTTGAGGGATCGAATTTCCGATAGAAGTATTTTTCATCTAGAAAAGTCTTCGAAAGCAGTCCCCATGGATAACAACCTATGGACCCGCCGCACAAAGTAAGTACACGGTACTAGTGCAGTTGCCTCTTTTTTCCCCCTTCACGGTCGACCTCGATATGCACTTTCTATTTTGATGCCACCCCGGTCGCTGCGCTGTGCATATTCCAGATCGCTGACATTGCGACCCGCGTGCAGCTCAGGCAAGCTTTCCCTCTCGACATCGGGCAATGGCAGTCCCGCACCGGGCGGTGACGCCAACCGTAACGGCTCCTTCGCCAAACGATTCGGCGGCGACTCGTCCTCACACGGCGGCAAATCAAATCCCTTCAACAGCGTAACGACCCCCGGCGGCATGGCTTCTCCGACTGCCTCCAACGCCTTCGGCCTGGGCTCCGGCGCTTTCGCTTCCTTCGGGTCTGCGAAGACGCCGAAATCCCCCGGCAACCCTTTCGACATGGCTATGGGCAAGATTGGCGCCAAGGTTGTCGGCGCGTCGTCGCATGATCCCTTGGGTAAGCCGTCCATGGCCTCCATCGCCGAGAATGCGGCGGGGAAGAAGGCGGTGGGCTCGCAACCAGCCTCGACTCGGACATCATCTGAGACCCTTCGCGTCCATCAGCTCAAGTACGAGTGGGTGACGTGGTGTCGGCCGCCCCAGCCAAAGGGCCAGCCGTACCAGGAGTACGCCAAGTCACTGACTCCCATGATCCACTGTAACAGCGTGGAGGAGTTCTGGGTTGGCTATCCGCACCTCAAGCGACCTTCGGAGCTGTCGGTGGGCTGGGAATACCACTTTTTCAAGAGGGGTGTCCGTCCCATCTGGGAGGATGACGAGAACAGGAGCGGTGGCAAGTGGGTGCTGCGCTTGAAGAAGGGCATCGTTGACCGGTACTGGGAGGACACCGTGTTTGCGCTGCTTGGTGAGGCTTTCACCGACTGCAGTGACGAGATTTGTGGAGGTGTGGTTAGTGTCCGCAACGGCGAGGACATCATCAGCATCTGGACGCGCTCGACCGGTGGACGTGTGCTGAGAATTCGGTAAGTGGACCTGCGTCGGCCCCGCTGAATGATGGTCACTAACATAAAAACAGTGAGACGTGGAAGAGCTACCTTAAGTGCCCTCCCAACACGATTTTCGAGTTCAAGTCCCACGACGAGAGCATCCAGCACAGGGCAGCCATCGAGGAGTCGCGCCGCGAGAAGCAGCACGACAAGCGATCCAACGCCATGAAGCAGTCCAACGAAGAGCAGAAGCAGCCCACTTCCTGAGCCACCAACACACACCTCCCAAGAACCCCGACACATGCCCTCTCAACCCTCTCCAACGGGCATCATGCTGGGGGAAACGCCGGCACGAGTTCAAATCCTTTCTTGCATTTTTTTCCAAGCCATCTTTGATGTTTATTTGTACACTATCAGATTCCGTTTTCCGGGTCTTCATAGCATTCGGGTCGAAAGTCCGACGAAAACAACACCTTGTTGGGATAGGGATACCGAGTGGAGAAGAAGGGACGAGGAGACGAAGAGAAAGCGAGGACAGGTCGAAAGAGGGCATGATGACTGCTGTTCTTTTTTCATCCAACATAGCAGGCTAGGGGGGAACGAAAGTGCTTCTCGAGTTTATTGTCGAACCTCGGAGACGGGGGAAACGATACGATTCAAGGGGCGCAAAAAATGGGCAGCGGTCAACGTTTAGCGGTCACGTTGTTTTATGGATTGCACACAAGCGGTTATTTGGGGGATTGGCTAAACCCATCTTATCATCTTTGGGAGGTGTACACTACTGCTGCCTCGGGCGCAAGCACCGGCATGAGCTGGCTGCGCGGTTCGGAAGGGCCTGGACCGGATAGTCTCAATGACTACGAAATGAGCGTCAAACGATTTTTGGCACTCGCCGTTGTGCTGTGAATGTTCAAGTGTCACAGCAACATCCCTACTAACGATACACACCAAGCTCCTTGCGCTGCGGAAAAAGTACAGATTCTAAAGACGCGTACTCTCTCTTCCGCGTTGTTTCTTCATTTTAACTTCATACACAATCTAGTATGGAATTCTACGCCCTGCCCTTGCCCTTTGGCGTCCGCCTCCTCTCCCAAACCTGCAGATACGTCTCGCCGAGGTACAACAGCTCACTCTGCACCTTCTCCACAAACAGATCCTGGCAAGAAACCCACTCGTCGCGGCCCTTGTCCCGTAGCTGCACCTTCCAGGTCTTGCGCTCCTCCCCGCTGTCCGCCACGTCCTCCTTCGCGCGGACGGCCTCGTGCACGACGTTGGCGACGAGGTCGTAGATGATGGGCTCGCCGGGCGGCCACTCGCCCGGGTTCGGCTCGACGTACGGGCTGACGTCCAGGCCGTTGGGGTCGAACGTGACGATGGTCGGGTTGCGCTCCGAGACGAACTTGTTCTGGCTGAAGCGCTTGACGTGGAAGACGAGGTAGGGTGGTAAGGGGTGCAGGAGGCGGTACCGCTTGCGTTGGGCCAGGTGCTCCTGGGCCTGGATGCCGTCGTATTTTGAGAGGATGGTGGTCAGAGGGACCTGGGGGATGATGTTCTTTTCTAATTCGTCCTGGAAGAGGGGCGCGGCGGGCAGGTCGAGCGTCAGGAACATGAATCGTGTTGATGTTACTGACACGGCGGCGTCCTCGAAGCGTAGGCGGTCACCGGCGTCGGCGCGCGCGGTGATGGCTTGCGACTCGACCTTGAGCTTGCCCTGGAAGATGCGCTGCACAACGGAGCTGCCTGGCTTGGTCTTGGAGCCACCGAGTCCGAGGTGCAGGTTGTTGAGAAACCATGAGAGGAACTCAACGGGATCTGATTGTGCTGTCAAAGTAAAGCGCTTGCTCGAGAGGAGGGAGATCTCTTGAAGCAGCTCGTGAGGGGAGACATGGGCCTTGAACGCGCGCGGGTTCCAGATCTTGCGGACGAGGATTCCAAAGCGCTTCGCCAGCTCAGAGCGTGATGACAGGTCTTCCAGCAAACAAAAGTTGCGCAGTGGCGCGACGTGTGACAGTGCTTGCACGATAACGTTGAGGTAGTCGTTCTCCTTCAGGTTGTTCATGCCCACGAACCCAGGGGCGTATTCCTTGCCAGCCAGCGTGAAAGACGCGCGCAGCGGCGTGCGGTCGAGCGCAGCGACTTCCTGCTTGATATATCGCGGGTCCGAGACGAACTTGATGTCGTCGAGCGACTTGGACTTGACTTCGTAGCCCTCGGGTAGGACGTAGACCTTTTGCGTCTGCATGTTGATGAAGACGTGGTGGTTCTCGTCGAGGGCGTGGAAGTAGGCGTGCGACTTGGGCCCGCGACCCTGGTAGTAGCGGCCGCATACGAGGCAGGCGTAGACGTTGATGTTGGATAAGCTGACGGAGCAGAGCTTTTCGAAGTCGAAGTCGAGGACGTTGCGGTCTATCGTATCGAGGTAGAGGTCGTCGTAGCCGTCTGTCGGGGCGGATTGGCGGATGGGGGCTTGTATGGGTGCCTCGTCGTCCAGATCGCTTTCATCGTCGCCATCATCTTGCCTCCTTTCCGGCTCTGCATTGCCGTTTGTCGGCGTTGCTACCTCCTCCCTCTCTGCGACGTGCCCGTTTTGCTCGATTGATTCGTTGGATACTAGGGAGTCGACTGTTCTCGAGCGTTTCGAGGCAGGCGAGGCAATGCCTGCGATCTCGTCGAGAGCCTCTTCTGCGTGACGTTTCCTGTAAGCCATGCTGTGTTGTGGGGTATATGAGTGTGTAAGGGCTGTGGTTGGTAGTATTCGCAGGCAGTGTTTGTGACGCTGGGCGGATGGATCAACGATGCGCCCCATTGCCTTTCCAGGCTCGAAAAAGTCGCCCGTCTCTGGGGTAATATGTTCACGCCCCACTTTTGCAACCACGCCCAGAGCTTCGTACCTTGATGTGCCGGGCGTGGCAACGGACTCTTCCTTCTAGAGATCTCTAAAACCTCACTTAATTCAAAGTGACACCTCCATATGCAAAATAAATACTCTAGCAATGGAATCGCGTGAGATCCTTCCCCACATTCATGCGGTCGACTTGGACTGCAATGGTAAGTGCGAGGCCAGCAGATGGTGCATTTGAGTGGCGCAAGCAGAGGTTTTGTTCCGTTGTCCAATTACAGAGGTCCAAGATGCAGCTCAATGTACACTCAGCTAGAGGACTGCAATAGGCGCCCGGAGTCTGCCTTGTTTCCCCCTCACCGGTATCTCTCGAGAATTTCTCTCTCTTCCCTTTCGCAGCGGAAGCGCACGATCATGCTATCTCAAAACAACTGACGACGATCGAAATGACGAGCCCACGGCCAAGTCGCCGTACAGACTTCACCGTGGCGCTGATATGTGCCCTTCCCATCGAATTTGATGCCGTCGCGCTGGCTTTCGACGAAACTTGGCCAGGAAATCAGTTCGGCAAGGCATCTGGCGACTACAACGCCTACACGCTGGGCCGAATGGGCAGTCAGAATACCGTGCTCGTTCTACTGCATAAGATGGGCAAGTCGAGCGCAGCAAGTGCAACGACCAGCCTTCGGCATAGTTTTCCGTCGATCATCCTAGCCTTTCTTTGCGGCGTTTGCGGCGGAGTCCCCAATCCGAGCCGCGATGTCGAGATTCGCCTAGGAGACGTGATCATCAGCGAAAATGTTGTTCAGTACGACTACGGCCGGCAGTATCCCTCTAAATTCGCCCACAAAACTACTGTGAGCGACACGTTGGGGATGCCCGTGAAGGAAATCCGATCATTTCTTGCTCATCTGAAGACGGATTTTGGGCTCAGCGAGCTACGCGATCAAATCCCCAACATGATGGAACAGATCCAGCGAAAGGCTGTCGCAAACGGTCACTGGTCGAAGTATCTCCGTCCTGGTTCCCACACAGATGTTCTTTTTCGAGCAAACTACCTTCACAGACATCAGCACAAGCGAGACTGCAGTTGTGGCAAAGAAACTATTTGCGATGAAGCAATCAATGCGTCCTGCGCGGACTTACAGTGCGATCCAGCGTACTACGTGCTCAGAAGGCGTCTCAGCAGCCGGGTTGAAGAGAAGAGTGACCGACAGGCTACATCAGACACATCAAAGTCACCGCCAGAAGTGTTCCTCGGTACTGTAGGCTCAGGTGACACTGTGATGAAGTCTGGGGAACATAGAGATATGATGGCGCAGCAACATGGTATCATTGCGTTTGAGATGGAAGGCGCCGGCGTCTGGGATGAGATTCCTTGCATAATCGTCAAGTCAGTCTGCGACTATGCCGACAGCCACAAGAACAAGAAATGGCAGGGCTTTGCAGCTATGGCAGCTGCTTCCGCGACTAAGGCGGTTCTGAATATGTACAACTTCGCTACAGCACCAACAGCATCGATAGTACCGACAATACCAACATTGCCGACAGCACCGACAGCACCAACAGCGCCAACAGCGCCAATAGCGACGACAGCTGTCTCTCACACCACAGAGACACCATCTCCAGCATGTGAGTAGCTGAGTAACTCTACAAAACGTTCGACTGATCGATTGATAGTCATTGTCCCCTACAATGAGAATCCGGATTTTGTCGGTCGCTCAGAAATCCTCGAACGGGTGAAAGATCTTTTTGGTCACAGCGATACATATCATCGTCCTGGCAGCAGGCCGCGCTCCAGAGTGGCTCTGCATGGCCTGGGTGGAGTTGGGTATAGAACACTCTCGCCGGTCATCTTCCTGTCTATGTGCTAAATGCTCTTAGAAAAACACAAATCGCTTTGGCCTATTGTTACTGGTTCAAGGAGAGATTCCAAGATGCCTCTGTTTTCTGGATCCATGCGAGCAATGTCGAACGGTTTCAGAAGGCGTTCAGCGATATTGCTCGAGAGTGTGAAGTTCCTGGACACAGCAAAGAAGAGGTAGACATTCTCTTACTCGTCAAGAAATGGCTGGAGAACAAACAACGGGGTAGATGGCTGCTCGTGATTGACAACGCAGACGACACAGAGGTCTTCTTTCCCGTAAAACCCATCGTCGAAGCCGACTGTCGAGCGACCAGTATCGGGCATTCTATACCCGAATGTTCCCATGGATCGGTCCTGATTACCACAAGAAACAAACAAGCAGGTTTGAAGCTTGGTCTGGGAAAGCCGCCAATTGAGGTTGAAAAGATGACCGAGAGCGAAACAACTCAGCTATTGCGCACCCTGCTTGAAGACGAGAGTGTGACGCCTGCTGAAGCATCGCTCCTATCATCACGCCTTGAAAATCTGCCTCTAGCTCTTGCACAGGCGACATCTTTCATTCTTGAGAATTCCATATCTATCAAGGAGTACGTTGGGCTCCTGGACAAGAGCGATTCCAGTATGTTCGACCACCTGAGCGAGCCATTTGAGGCAGTCGGACGAGACACCGAGACACCCCATGCATTGACAGCCACTTGGGCCATCTCTTTCAAGCACATTGAGAAACAGAAACCTATGGCAAGCGATGTATTGTATTTGATGAGCTTCTTTGACCGTCAAGCCATACCGAAGCAATTTATCTGGGATTATTGCCATGAAACGCTAGAGAACGCGTTGTATTCTGACGATGACTCAGAGCTGGGGGAAGATTCCGAAAATGATTTTCAAATCGACACTGATCTGGAAGTCACCCAAGCCCTAGGCCTTCTCCAGGCCTTCTCCTTCATCTCCAAGGCCGGTGACGACTTATTCGACATGCACAGACTGGTGCAGCTCGTCACCCGAAAGCAGCTTGCTGATAGGGGTGCCATGTCAGATTTTGCGACCAAAGCTCTCAAAATAGTGCGAAAAGTGTTTCCATTGGGCACACACGAAAACCGAGTGTTATCTCTTCAATTACTACCGCATGCACTTGCTGTTTTGGAACATTCGGAAGTCACTATAGAGAAGCCACTCAGAGAGGACGCCTGGCTTTCACGTGAAGTCGGTGAATACTTTTATCGGCGCAGGCAATATGAAGCTGCGAAACATTTCCTCTGGGCTGCGGACCTCTACAGCAAATTGTTTGGACCAGAGCATGACACTACACTAACAGTTTTATGCGATTTAGCACATACTTATATGCGGATTGATCGAACAGAAGAAGCGCTTGAATTGGCGTTGAAGTTGCTGGAGGCTGACCAAAGATTGCGACCAAAAGACACAGCAACGATATTAACCGACAAAAGACTGACCGCGAATGCCCTTGCTTCCTTGGGACGCTTCGGAGAGGCAGAACCCCTTTACCTAGAGGTGTGGTCAAATAGGAAAGAGATATTAGGAGAAGAGCACCCTTCTACGCTAACGGCCGTCGACGGGGTCGCGTCTTTGTATAAATCGACTGGTCGACTGAAAGAGGCACAAGAGCTATCCAAAGGAACTGTAGAGCTCTCAAAACGTGTAATGGGCGAAGAGCGCCCTGCCACTTGGAAGCGCATGAGAAGGCTTTCTAAGATATACACGGAACAGGGCAATTACGATCAGGCCGAGCCACTAGTCTTGGAGACACTGGAAGCTCGAAGCAGGGTACTCGGAGAATCTCATCCTGACACTATATCTAGCCTCAAAGATCTTTGTGATATATACTGTCAGATGGGTCGTGTTGAAGAAAAGCAAAGAATGGACCGACGGATTTTGGAAGCTGAATGGGCTGATTGGAGTATGTAAGATGTGATTCAGTTTATTTCTTTAGATTATCGGGCGTTGAACATGTATTTCGCAGCTAAGCCAGACAATTGAATGTGGGCATGTGACAAGGTTACTCAATCGACCAAGGCTACATAGAAGGTGTGTATACCGGGGCCCTGTTGATAGACATTGGACTGCATTAGGAATATTCTACTTGGCACAGAGACTAAATTACACCGGAGAAAAAAGTGCCCTCTAAACGGAAGTTGTTACCTAGGATACCTTACTGTGGGAAGATCACCGCGGAAAAACCGTGGGCTTCATTTGACGTTTGGGTTTGACCGGAGCAATACTGAAGAGTTTCTACAACGCACTGGTTGAAATATAATCAGCGCCATGTTGATTTCCCTCAAGCTTTTCGCTCGTACGAGCTATACATATGTATAAGAAACAGACGTATCTAGTTTTTCACCAAACCAATATTACTATAATTGATCAGGATGCCATAATGGTATCTCTCTCTACATCCATGGCGTCCTCCATGGCAACATCCTCTATCGCGGGCGCAAGACTGTCCATTTCCCGCAGGGTATATTCCACCAGATAACTCTCGTCCACAAGCTCGTCCATCCTCCTGTAGTGTCGCTCCGTGTATACCTTGAGGGCGTTGAGCACCTCCTTCAAGCTCTTCTGTCCGCGAGCCCCCTTTACTGACAGGTTAGAGAACTTGGACGCGGGGTAGCTGCGCACTAAAGCCCACAGGATGCGCTGGGCAACGGCAGCTGTCCTAGCATTTGTGTTCCAGTCGCGCAACCTCAGAAGAAGGGTAAAGATCTGCTCGTCGGAGAGAGTAGCGAGGACCTTGTCGACCGCCTTCAGGCCACAGAGACTGCCCTGCTCGGGGGTGGCAGAGTTTACGACCGAGGTGAACAGGCTCAGTAGGCGACCGGGGTGGTTCAGCTGGAGGGCAAGAACAATAGCATCACGGTAAGAACCGGCGTGAATGTGGTTCTCAAGCTCCTGCTCTTGCTCGACCAGCTTTTGAGCGGCTTCCGTAGCGGCAGCCTGGGATTCAGCAGTGGTGTCCTTCCAAAAAGTGACGATGGAGTCACCGTCACCTGAAACGATCGTGTTGTCACTGGAGTTGACGGCCAGGGCCCAGATACGGTCCTCATGGTTGTCAAGCGTTGCCTCGGCTTCCCCAGAGTTGGCATCCCACACCTTGACCAGGCCGTCACTACCCGCACTGGCGAACTGGAGCTGTTTCTTGCCCTTGCCCTCGAGTTTCGGCATGTTCAGCCAGACAACCTTCAAAACACTGTTGGAGTGACCCTCAAATGTCCTGATGCAGGTGTAGTTGGTCAAACTCCAGAGCTTCACGGTCTTGTCGGCACTACCCGTTAAGACAACACCCTTTCCAGCAACCTGGCCCTCGTCTCCCTGAATGGCGGGGCACTGGGCAGGAGCAAACTTGATTGACCACACACCTCTGCGGTGGCCGCGCAGAATACCCTGGACTTCACCCTCAGCCACCGACCAAATCTTGACCATCTTGTCTTGAGATGAGGAGGCAAAAAGTTGACCGGAAGGATGGACATCCATGGCGTTGATATCCTTGTCGTGCGCCTTTCTGGTGAAGACAGCACGGCCTCCCTTCTTCCCTTGCTGAGCTTCCCTGGGAATATCCCACTTCTTCACGGTCTGATCTTGAGAGCCAGTCAAGAGGAATGGCGGGGGATGGCTCAGGGGATCCTTGAACTGTGCTGATGACTCCTGTGGGGGCTGCTTGGGCAGAGCAACTGCGCCAATTGACTCGGTGTGACCCGTGAAGGTAGCATAACATGTGAAAGAGTTGTTCTCGGGGTCGATGCGCCAGAGACGAGCAGTATTGTCCTTCGCACCCGTTGCAACCCAGTACCCGGACCAGTCAACGTCCAAGGAGACGATAATGTCATCGTGACCCTTGAGTAAAGCCAGATCTTGACCAAAGTATGTGGGGTTTTCTGTGGTAGCGTTGGCGTCGGAGTCCTTGACGGAGACGATGCGGATATCTTCGGCATTTGTAGCGAGGGCGAGGAGCGAGCGGTCGGGGAGTAGGTAAGTAAGATCGATGATCGAGTCGTGGGTGCCTGAAATACGCCTAAATGGCTCGAGCAGGGTGCCCTCAACATCGTCCTTCTCGGGCACCTTGTAGAGTGCAAGCGTGTGGTCCACTTGCACGCAAAGTACGAAAGGGAGCTCGGGGTGAGAGACAGCGCTCACGATGCCCTCCGCCTCAGCCTTCGCAGGCTGCTCCTTTGTCAACTCGCGTCCGGTGTCAGTATCCCAGATACGGAGGCAGCCCTTGGCACCCGCGGAGTATGTCAGACGACCGCCGTCAACGAAACCAACAGCCTCAATAAGCTCCAAGCAAGGCACGATCTTCCGGATCTTCCAAGACCTCGCATCCCACCAGATGATCGTCTTGTCTCTGCCCGCCGATACGATGGCGTTTTGTTCGGGGGAGTAGTCCAGGCCTTGGACGTTGGAGACGTGGGAGTCGAGGTTCGCAACGGCAGCGCGTTTGTGGAGATCCCAGACGCGAACCTTTCCATCCTGGCTACCGGACACCAACCGCCAATTTGTCGTCGTAGAGTTATCGTCCTGCTCCTCGACCTGCTTCGACTTCTTTCCCTTCTTGCCAACCTTCTCAACTTCAAGATCGTTCGAACGAGCGGCAACCTCGAAGAAGTGGAGAGCGGAAACGAGAACACTTGGTCCGCGGAAGGTGTGGGTAACGTAGCCTCCGACAATGTCCCAGACCTTAATCGCTCCATCGGTTCCTCCGGTCGCAAGAAGGGTGCTGGTTCGGTCGACAGCGAGAACGACGACAGGGGTACCGTGTGGCTTGAGGGATCTCGTCAACTTCGCTTCGATCGTTCCGTCGTCGGTGGTCTTCAGAGCATAGATCTTCATGGACAAAGATCGGGAGCAGATGATGAGGTGAGACCCGGAGGGCGTCACTAGATTCAGCGTTAGAGGTTGCTCAATGATGCTAGTACGCATACGTACAGGTCAAAGTCGAGATTTGTTCGCCATCCTAGAAGCGCATGGTCAGCATCGCGTCAATTGAGTGCGGTCTGGGGCGCATACGCCTTCGATCTTTGCAAGATGCTTTCCGTTAGAGGGGTTGGTCAAGATCACGTCCTCCCCAAGGGGCGTGGCCAAAATCTTGGCGCCATTGTCCAATGCAACAGAGCCTCCGGTGAAGATAGGCCGAATGACCTTTTCCGGTTCGAAAGTGGTCTTGAACGGTTGTTTGCTCGCCATGATGTTGGTTGTAGAAGCAACACGATCATCGCGATAAGCATTTCCCGGGCGAAAAGTCCAGAAATTTTTCTTTCTGTCGGCGGGATGCGCTTATCGATAGTGTTATCTAATCCGAGCCCCACTTCATGCTCCAGGAGCTACCCGGCACTATTCGACAGCGACAGCGGCAGCTGCTTCACTGAAGCATATCCCGGCGCATTCTCTCACACGCATTCATTGCTGCTGACATCTGAAAAGCAGCCACAGGGCCACTTTTTGCCCTCAGGTTGACAGGCTGGCAACGGTCTTGCTAGGGACTTTGAAGCAGCGACAGTGAGACGACCAACTCAAGTCAACCACATTGTCGCACATATGTTGGAGCGCATCTGTGCCCGAAGATGACGAGACAAGGCCCGTTGACGGCTCAAGCCTTGGTAAGCACCTCCGCAACCCACCAGGGCTACCGCAGCTGATAGGTTTACTTTACTCAGGGCCGGTCGCCATACGACGATGTTGTCGAGGGTGAAGGCGAAGCCGATCCTCGGGCGCCAGAGCAACAATACGACAACCGCGGCCGACCGATCAACCCCGAAACCAAGCGTATGAACCGGGACATGGTCCGATCTCATAACGAGGTCATGCAGGTCATAGGAGTCGCGGAGCCTGATAACACACCCTCCGCGGCAGAGGTTGATTCAGTGCGACGATACTTCAACTATGAAGATGCCGTGGGCACTAGGCTCCTTCGCTTTGGGCGAGCACTGGAGATTGGAGGAGTTTGGGGCATCAACGGTATGCGACTGCGCATTCTTCTGTATAAGCGCTATGCAGACATTTCATTCTTCGAACTGCTCCAGAATGAAATCGGCAATCGCTCGCTCGCGAGTGCCCTCGGTACTGGTTTACCGACCTTTCTGGGTGGCCACGTCTTCAAAATGGCTACTTACTACCTCTATCCCTTCCCAAGGAAGAACAGGTGGTTAAACATGGGTCTATCCTACATCCGAGTACACCTCCAGCTCTACGTGTTTCTCCAACGCCTAGACATCATACCATCCAGCAGATGGTTCCCGTCACTGAGCTTCTTCGTCCCGGGATCGCCTTCTTCGCCTATTGCAGCGCCAGAACCGCCGAAGGACTTCAGCGTCGAGTCGTTAGCACAGTATGCTTGCGCCTGGTGCATCAACGCCGTTCCCTTTGTCTCGTTTGTTGTTTGGGGACAAATTTGGACCGAAGTGACTGGTCATCTGTGGCAAGAGTTCTATGGGAGACTGCCAAACACAGTACATCATCGCAAGCCTCCCCCACCTCCCCCACCACCGGCGCCGATCCCCGAGGTACCGGACCCAGAGCCGGAAATTGAACAGCCCCAAGACGAAGCTATTCCGGAGGTGCCAATTGAGGCACTGGGCGGGGTTCCCCAAGAGCCCAATGACGGTGCCCCAGTTCAGGCAGTCCGCCGCCAAAGCACATTCTCAGCAAGAGGAGACGAGTATGGAAGCGATGATGACGAGGATGGAGGCGTCAGTGCAACACTGATCAGCTTCGATGTTGAAGCTACTGACTCCACCGATGCGCCTCCAGGACTCTGGTCCGCAGAGCTTCGACCAAGCACAGTACCAGATAGCGCCTACGGCCACGCCTCCGTGCAGTATATGGACACCATGCTGACTAGGCTCCCTGCATGCCTCGCATCAGACATTTTCACAGTCATCTCTGGTTACGTGCTCGTGTCTCCGTATGAGGCTCTTTCGCTCAGACTGGTCGCAAGGTCTTACAGGTCCAGGATGGGGCTTCCTTTCGATGATATCCATGAGATCAATATCTTCAGTGGTATGACATTGAAGGGCATCACCAACTTTTTGGGGTTGGAGTTCCTGCACTTGGTAATTGCTGGCGAACTTTGGACGATCATCACGTCCCTTGCCCAGTGGTTTCATCTTACTGAAGAAGAGTGGAAGCTACTAAACGAGCTAGACGAGGCCGAAGCAGCCGAGGAACGAAGAAGACAACAAGAACAGTCCTAAAATGGACCAGAGGCTGATGTTTTGATTGAGGCTTGTAAGGGGAAAATGGCGTCTTGGGAGTTAAGCACGTGCGGGATTACGAGATACCTCATCACTTGAATGGGAAAAGTGGCAAAGCATGGCTCTGTTTCGTTGCTGAATTATAAATTTGGGGTATCATAAATGCCACGACCTCTTTCATCATCGGAATGCGAACAACGCCAGCCGATTTGATCATCTCCTCTCTTTGCCCTTGCCCTTCTTGAGCTTGTCAGCTTTCTTCTGCTCGACAAACTCCTTCACAAGGTCCAACAAATCGGGATTCTTCCTCGCCAGAAGCACCACGTCCTCCGTCTGCACCGTCGACCTCCTGGCATGTCGACTGAAGTTTTCGAGGTCAATGGCGACGGACTCTGCGGGTAATTCAGCCCATGAAAGCACATAGGCATATACTTGCATGTCTCTTACCTATTTGGGACCAAACCATCTCAGTCAATGCACCGATGAACTGCGGTGTAGCGTTGCAGTTTTGCTTCAGCGACTCCTCATCGACGATTTTGCCAACCGCGAACCAGAGTGCGGCCTTAAGGCGCTGAAGGACGGATTAGACCAGAATTAAGCCCCCAGCTGTGGAATCCGCTCACCTCACGCTGCTCTTCATCCATTGATTCGGCCATCGTGAGTGCGATAGACGTGAGGTGCGTTGAGGTCGGTACCACTTTACGCGACAGACGCGTCTCCAGTCCCTGCGATGCTCTGTTTTCCCGACAAAAGTAGAATGACAGCCGAGAAGGTAAGTTTTGGCGCGTCAAAGCAGCGAAATTGCACGAATTGCGTGAGCTGATGGTTGGGCGCTTCAACCTTGAAGGTCAAGTTGATTAACCAAACTGCGTGAACACTGACGATAATCACATGATTTCGCGTCTGATGACTAAGCATCGCCCTGGGGTGCTGGGCAGGTGCTTCCTCGCGGGAACCTTCTTCCAAATTGTTGTTATGTTGTAATCATATCCTATAGATTTCACAGACATTAAATAATAGTATAGATGTTTTTGAGTTCAGATAAATAGCCAACTTGTTTCGCGGCTTCTTGTCCTTTCCTTCCAGTGGTACTACTTCTGCGTGTACCTTGGGGTTTTGCAATGCGAAGAAACGCGCTGTGACATCACTGGTGAACCCCCTGTAGGACCCTTGGAAGTCGCTGCACCAGTGTGAGCTTCCAGCGTTTCTCCAATGCCGTGCCACCAATTGGCCGAAGCTAGCGGGTTCTTCCACGTGGGGCCTTTGGAGCAATTTTGACGCCGCGCGGGCCGACTCTCAACGTCGCGACATTTTTGTCTAGCCGCGATTCCTCACCCGCATCAATTCTCCTTTTATTATTCCCTCAGGGCCGCCACCTCATCCGGCTGACCCGAATCAACTATCTGCAGCGATTACATATAACGCACGACTTCTTCTCAACTCGCAAAGCGCAAACCGACTCGGTTGGTTTTACTCCACACGACCGTTGCCTCTTAATCCCCCCACTTTGCGACACCAAACCGTCAAAATGGCCGGCATCTTCGACCTTGTGTCCACCGTCTGGACGCGCTTCAGCACCAACCTGCGCGGCAGTCTCGAGGGCATGACGCCCGAGAAGTGGATCCGCCTTGTTATCATCGTCGGCGCATACTGCCTCGTCCGTCCCTACCTCATGAAGCTGGCTGGCGGCAAGCAGATGAAGGAGCACGAGGCTCCCATCGAGGACCCCAACGCCCCCAAGGCGCAGGTCCAGCCCAACACCCTGCGCGGTCAGGTCGAGATTCCCGAGAACAGCGACGACGATGACGGAGACGCTCCCAGCTCCACGACAGCGACCGACTGGGGCAAGAAGGCGCGCAGAAGGCAGCGCGACGTCCTGAAGAAGATGATTGACGCCGAGGAGAAGAGACTTGCTGAGCTGCAAGAGGATGATGAAGACAAGGATATCGAGGAGTTTATGGTCAAGGAGTAAAAGACTGGCAACTATGAAAGCAAAGGCGCGGCTTTTTTGATGGCGTTTCGCTTGGTTGGTCCTCTAGCATCATTAATACATATTCACCGGTGCTTATGGCCATCCTATTGTCTGGTTTTGCAAATTGTTCTCGTGGATGAGGCCTGTGTTCTTCACTGATTGATGGGGTCTCGAGGAGTTGATCTACAGCTGATCCTAAAATATCATGATGTACCGCATAAGTGACCAACCGCAAGGGTTGTGCTGTTGTCAGCGAGGTACTTACTATTATATTGAAGATGCAATGGTCCGAAACTTGCTCAAGTGTCCAAAACACTTCCATCAAAAATAGGTTAGTTGTAAGTTCACTCGCAAGGTACGTTTCTGCTGCTTGTTGAACCAAAATGTCCAAAGATCTATTCAAGCCGCGTTGATGCATACTAAAAGCGCACATTATGTATAACTTTAATTCGTATGTTATTCCATGGGACTAACACCTCATAATAATAGAGAACAATCTGGACCATACAGAAATTTAATACATGTTTGCTACCTCCAAGCACCGAAGTCCTGCCAATTGTAAAATGAAGCCGCTGAGAATCAGCCTGCATGGGTAGCGCTCGGACCACATTCCGGTCTGGACAGGGATGGAGGTGCCACTAAAGTTTGTGGCCCCCTTGTCTGCTCCACCGACCGAACTGCTTGCACTGTTGGACTTTGAGAAATCAGCGTCTGGGGCGGTTTCCGAACGCGTCTCTAGAAGCAAGGGTTTCGAGCTCTTTCTTCCTCCAAATCATTCGCTCCACAACCTTCGCATCAGGTTGTTGCCGTCGCCAAAGGGGATAGGCGAAAGCTTTTGCGACAGACATCTCATTTGTCTCGCGGTGCAGGCAAACCCATCGATCGATTGCGAAGCGCGCAAACGACGCTGTTCTGCGACACCAACGACACCACCGCCCGGCGGCGCAAATATCAATACCAACGTCCCCTGACTGGGGTCACAGCAGGATGGCGACGTCGGCGCTACCTGCCGCCATGGCATCTGCGTCTGTTGATGCGGCCGCGGGGGCGACAGCCGCCAACGATGCCCCGGCTCCCAGAAAGTACAAAGCCTCTGATCTTCCTCTGCCGTCTGCCACCCGAGCTGCCATCGATTCACTGGCGCATAGCTTCAAGAAGAAGGGAGGCTACGACGCAATTCGTAAAGAAGTGTGGGACAAGTTCGCTGCCAGCGTACGTCTGCACTCTCATTTGGCCATCGGTTATTCTGCTAACGGGCGATTCAGGACTACGAGGAACAAGTTACGAAAGCTATCCTCGAGGTCGCCGAACACGAGGTTCAACGAAACCCCCACCAACTTCTCACACTCGACCGCGGAAAGGCTGCCGCTCTTATTGATGGCGCTCTCGAGCGATCTGGCGTCTACCAAAAGGCTGAGCAGGTCATCACACAGCTCATCGATAAGAAGGCTATTGAGGAGCGAATGCGCCAGCTTCGTCGAGCCGACATTGGCGAGGAAGAAGCGACCGCAGAGCAACAACGAGGCGCCAAAACAGATGAGGAATACCATGCCGATACTATGGGGAGAAGAGCTGAGCGGGAGAGAGTGCGCGAAGAGCTAAGGCAGAAGGAGCTAGCCATCGAGGAAGAGAAGCGTAAGATCGCCAGAGAGGAGCGAAAGAAGGTCGAAAAGGAGCGCGAAAAGGCGGAAGAACAACGCAAGGCAGAACGAGACGCCCGCAGAGCTGCTAGGGAAAAGGCTCAGGCTGAGCGAGACGCCGAGCGAGACGAACGCCGCAGGCAAAGAGACAGGGAGCGGAGTCGAGACCGGAATCGCGACAGGAGTCGAAGCCGCAGCCGTCGAAGAGACCGGGACCGCGATCGCGAACGTGACCGTGAACGCGATGCCGAACGCGAGCGTGAGCGGCAAGAGGAAAGGGAACGGAGACGCAAACAGCGAGAAGAGGAGACTGAGAAGGCCAAGAAGAACCTCACCCAGGAAGATATGAAGAGGCTCGAAGAGGAAGCCCTTTTGGATCTCTTGCGCGAGAGCACCCACGGTGCAGCGAAGCAACCCGAGATGGAAATTGATGAGGCGTTGGCTCCCCCGCCTAGAAAGCTGGCACCAGCGTCTGCTATCATGCCTATCAAGAAGGTCTCTTCGCGCGATTCGCCAAAGGTCTCGGAATCCAAAAAGCCCTCTGATCCGGTGGTAAAGAAAGAAGCAAGAGATGCCAGTGTGGCTGCCGCGCCAAAGGTTGAGACGACAGAGACACGGACCAGAAGCCGTAGTCGGTCAAGAGATGGCGGAAAGGATCGTGAACGTGATCGTGACGATGACAGGCGTCGCACGAGAGACGACGACGACCGCCGCAGACGTGATCGTCGTTCCAGGTCACCCCGCCGGGATCGTTCTCGCGACAGACGTGACAGATCTCGCTCCCGGTCAAGACCCAGGCGCGATAGGAGTCGATCTCGGACACGTACAGAGAGACGAGATAGGACTCGTTCTCCTTCCCGTACTAGAACTCGACGCGATCGGAGCCGATCTCGCACACGACACGACCGTCGCGACAGGAGCCGTTCCCGCTCTCGCGTTAGGGACCGCAGCCGGGATCGGCGCAATGACAGACGGGACAGAAGTCGCTCTCGAACTAGGGCAGAGCGCCGTGAAAGGAGTCGCTCACGCACTCGGGTGGAGAGAAGGGATAGAAGCCGTTCTCGCCTGAGATCCGACAGGCGCGAACGGTCCCGCTCAAGATCTCGACCACGCACGGCAAGGCGAGACCGCAGCAGATCTCCCAGAGTCGAGAGGCGCGAGTCTGTTCGTCAGGATCGCAGTCGTTCTCGCACCAGAAGAGATCGATCTCCTGATCGGGCTAGGGACCGAGAGAAGGAGCGGGACCGCGACCGCAAAAGTAGGTCACGGTCGCGTCCCACTTCTTCCACAGTCAGGTCGGCCTCCAAACTGGACAAAGAGCAGGAGGTTAGAGAGACAACAAAGATGGACGAGGTTCGAAAGCGGGAAAAGGAGGCCAAGGCATACTTGGCCGCACAGCGCGAGGCTCGTGAGAAGGGCATGCCCGTACCAGGAATCGATGACAAGAGGAGTACAGGGGAGCGATCTCCAGAAGCCAAACGGAAGCGTGATCTGGACGAGATTGATCGGTACGTGCCTCCCGGTAGAGACAGGGAGCGACCGCACGATCTGTCGCGTGATGATCGTGAAGACCGCCGCCGCAGCCGGTCGCGGAGCAGAAGTCGAGCCAAGGATCGCGACAGGGAGCGTGACAGAGACAGAGACAGAGATCGAAGAGACAGAGACCGTGATCGTGACCGCGACCGCGAGAGAGACCGTGATAGGGACAGGTCCAGGGATCGCCGGGATCGGGATAGGGATAGAGACCGTGACCGTGACAGAGATCGCGATAGGGACCGCCGCAGCCGGAGAGATAGGAGCCTCTCGTCACGTCGGGACCGGAGGGATCGGAGCCGCAGTCGAAGAAGGAGCAGGAGTCGCTAGAAGCCGCTGATTCCTCTTCCTGCGTCTGAATACCCCACGGACTTCAAAGGAAATCAACAGCAAAAGCGCAGCTTCTCGCGGTATCTGAACGGGTAGGCTGGGAGAAGGAGGCGTTCTAATGGGTTAAACAAAGGATTCACAATTTCATACCAGCTATGGCAAAGTAGCAACTGTACAAATATAAAACACATGGTACTGTTAAAGATGCTTCCCACAATACTTGATCGTCCTACGTTTTACAGGTTAGGACCCATCACACAGCTCCGACGCCGAAAGCTGGCCGGCCCCACTTCACGATTCGGGCTCGGGCCGGGTGCCGGTGCCGGATGGTCGGGCGGCTACGGCGCACGATAGGGCTTAACGAACGGCGGGGAATCCCGGTCCTCGAACAGCCGAGTCCATGATGCGATGATTTCTCTCGCTTAATCATCGCCCAGGGCTTTAAGCACAGAGAGAAATGCAGCCTCCTTGCTCGAAGGCAGGGTACCCAAACCTTGGTTACAGATGACAGCGCCTAGCACGAGTCAAGGAATGGCCCTCCAGTGTCGGAGAGATGGACTTGAAAACGTCCGCTGGAATCCGAGTATTTACTGCGCGTTACCTGGGACGCCGTTGGTGCATGCTGTCTTGGCTGTGAATATTCAAGGTTCTCCCGCCGGTATTGCGGTAATCTCCCTAGCCTCAGCCCATTCGTCGACTTGAAACCCATAGGGCAGGTCACCGTTGCGACCGTCTCGGATCTGTAAAGTTAGATAAGGATTGTAATAGTGTATTCCAGGGCCACCCTTTTTGAAGTTTTTTCTCTTTACTTTTCTGCGTACCTAACTACAAGTAAATGATGGACAAACCCACCTGCTCTGATTCGCTCTGTCACTCGCCGTCTTGGCTTCGTTTGGTTTACCTTTTCTACTGCTAATTTGACTTGATGGTGATGGTCGTCTTGTTCAACTAAAGTTTGAAGGTGCGCGAGTTTGATGGAGGGGAGGAGGGGCTCTGCTGGAATTAGGCACGCCGAGTCATGGGAGTGCCTGATATGGGATGTGGAGGTGGGGGGCCTTTCCGAGTTGCTGAATGGGCGTCACGTCTCAGGAAGTTTCCGGCGGTTCCGTCTGGGGAAACTTTATTTTGGCCTCTCGGGCGTCTCCTGCTGCTGCTTTGGTTCTTTTCGGTGCGATGGGAGCGAAAGCGAGTGTAACGATACCCGCTGGGCTTATTCAGGGCAGTGGTAGATGTGAGTTTTACAGAAGTTGTGATGATGAGATAGATTGCCTCACTGGGACTGTAGTGTAATTGATATTCAAAAGTAATGGTTAATAAAAAAATCCTTTCTATCGCAATCCTTGCCTGCCCGCCTATCATTGATGCGCCCGAACGCCTGTCATCCCGTCTTTCCTGGGTCCCCTTCCAGTATCAGATCACTCTGCACAATCACAAGCCCCAAACTGCTGTGAGCTCAGTCCATTAGACTGGTCTGGTAGTCCCTGAAGTTTGCGTTGGGGGGATCGCGGTCAACCAGATACTTGAACTTGTCGGGGTAGCGCTTGATGTAATCCGGAATATCATGGTTCACCTCAATGCGGTCAAAGTTGGAGTCGCCTCTGCCAAAGCTGTGCCAATGTCGTTAATAAAGTGCTCGGAATGATGCCTCCACCGGAGAACTTACATATCATGACCCAACCGAGCCACTTTGACGATCCATTGCGGGTCCTTGAACTCGGGCTTGTTGAATTCGGAGTGGGAGAATGAGTTGATCTTCTGCGCCATCTCTTCAGTGGTGCTGAAGCAGTAACTGCAGTGCCACCCGCCCTGGTTGAAGTGATGATCGTTGGCATTTGAACGCAGGTCGTCCGGCAGGACGGTATCCTTGCCGCGGAACAGCGTTGCCTGCGGGTGGTTCCAGTCGTTTCTCGACAGCCACTGGTAGGAGTAGTAGTAGATCTTGGAGTGGATCGTCACTCGGGTCGGGACTTCACAGTTGCGCAACGCGCGGAGGACCTCGGGCTTGGGAATCTCGTCGACGTCGGAAACAAGCAGGATGTCGTCCTCCGAGGCCGCCTGCTCGCCCGTCAGGCCGGGGATGACCTGCTCGTACATGGCGTTGCGGCTCAGCTTCTCACGGTCCCACGTCGAGCCGTCCTTCATGGCCTCGAGGTCCATGGTGCGCACGATCATCTTGTCGTGCCAGGGCTTGAAGAGGTCCCAGTTGTCCTTGACGTACAGCGGCTTCGGGTGGTCCGTGAAGGTCTTGTCGGACTCGAGGATCACAAAGTAGTCGACGTACGGCGCCATCTGGCCGAGGCGCAGCTCGAGCATCTCAATCTCGGTGTTGACGAGGAGCAGGTCGTAGATCTTGCGCTTGCGGACGAAGTCCTCGGGCATGGACTTGAGGCGGTAGTGGTCGCAGTACTCCTCCGCCTTCTCGGGCGAGAGGATCTCGGTTTTGGCGAGACCCGTGCTGGTGTCGATGCCATCGCTGGGCGACGAGTTGTACTGGGAGGCGATCTTGCGCACCCTGTCTGCTACTTCCGAAGGGGCGTTCACTCGCCAGACGAACCAAATGAAGACGGCTGAGGCAAGAAAGGCCAGATACTTGATCTGGTGGGATGAAGCGGATGCCTTCATGACGGGCAAGGTGTGTTATAACAATATAATGTGGTAAAAAGAGTGAAAGAAACGCCCGAACACTGCTCAATCCAGGTGAGCTTCGGTATGAAAGAGGGAACGACTGAGGCCGGACGAAGAGGATGAGAGGGGAAGAGACACACGCGTACCAGCCAAATATGAGGCAAGATACATGGGCCGATGAGGGGTGTGGCCTGAAGTACTTGAACTTTGAAGGGTTCGATGGGGGCCGTGGGCTCACATCAGACTTCTACAATGAGTTGGTCCACGCTCCCAACTCCAGCTATGCATATGAGTAGATTTCACCCCCATCAGATAAAGGCTCGTCGCATTCTTGGCTGTGCAAGATCAGCATGCAGCTGAGATTCAGCTACCCCGTCGTTGCGAACCTCGTGCGTGACGGCGATAGAGTGATGGCGTCGTAAGTCGGCATCGGGAACAGCGACATGTCCTTTGGGTTGTCATTAATGCCAGTAAACTCAAAATTATTCTCGGGTGCCTACTCATGCATGCCGCTCCTTGTATCGTGTGATACCAGACTTATCTGCCCGGTTCCGTTCCGTGGTGTCTCGATCTTTGCTCCTGGTGACGGTTAGCTGGGTGCTCGAGTAACAATCCTTGCAGTCTCTCGACTCACCAAGACAACTTGGTCAACTCTTGGCGATGTGCCTCACCATCGCGCTTGTTCAGTGGTTTAATCGCCTCACGTCAGCCGCTGAGACGGGTGCTCAGGTCCTTAGAATAGGCATCTCATACCGATGACGGCTGCCCCCACACACCCATCGCACGAAAGTGGCAGGTCAATTTGGCGGGTTTCCATGGTCGTTGACAGAAGCCAGAGCCGTTGTTGGCTGTCAGCGTGAGAAGACACACGAGAAACCTCGGGTTGTTGGTTGTTGGCGGTGGAAGATGGGGGCGGTTTCAGGGGCGGCGTCTCAAATGTAAGGTCACCAACGCAGTCATTATCTGGACGGTAATATGAACAAGCTTCTTCTCTTCACATGGGCGACATTCCTTTTTAGAGGAGAAAAGACCCTATATTCCTGCCCTGAAATGCAACTATGATTCGGACCCCAAGAGAGAGTCCGAGGCATTGACACAAGGGACGGGATGCAGTCAACCAACAACGCCGCAACTCACCATCGCTGCAAGTGAAATTCATTGCCTACCTTACAGATACAAGTACCAATTTCGCTACCTCGCGAACGGAGAAGCGCGCAGCCATGCAAAATGCACAGCAGTGCAGCACAGGCGAAGAGCAATCCCCACCGGTCCATTTCGGGCTAGTGGCAGCCTCCAACCCCTGTCCGCAGAGCTTAAATTAAATAAAAACATGACACCGAGACCCCAGCAGCCTTCGCAGCAGCAAGCAATTCAGCGGCAAGCCGGGTCTCTCGGCGCGCGCGCGCTATTGTTGGTCGTTTGAAGTCCGGGGTCCTGGCAACCTGGGTGTTGCGGCACAGGCTCTGGCCTAGCACCAACTCATCAATACGATGCAATCGCGGGGCCCGGTCAAACAAACTTTCTTTGGTTGATGAACGGGGAAACTGTGTGTCCCCTTTTCCCCCTGCCTGTGCCATCGCGGTACTGAGTCTTGTCTTATGCCTGTGTGCAATGTCTCGTTCGCCTGCGGAACTCAGTCACTCACCACCCAAAGCTCCGGGCAACTTTCTTTTCTCCAAGTACGACCATACCTTTCTTCTTACCTTGCCCTCGGATCTCACTCAGATCGTCGCCAGGGCTGAACTGGACCGCCGCTCCGTTGTCAACCCCGTCTTGACTTCCCTTCCTCGTCCGAACACCTCCCGTCTCTAGAGTTGCTTGACTCTAAAGTCGCATTCGAACCGTCAGTGACATCCACCACCACAGCTGGGTCTGAGTTCGCACATGGCATCCCCTTGTACTACTTCAGTCGACGATCAGGACGAAACTGACATTGGATATCCCCAGGCTGACGCAACAGACCCCCAAAGAAGACGGTGGATGTCTCGTTACCATCGTTGCCTGATTGATTGATCACTCTTGAACCGCAGTGTCAGCTCGCCTACAGACCACCCGCCAGAACGGGATACCTGCTGCATCGTGGACTGGTTCCTCCAACGACGACTTGCAGCTTGCCGAGCTGGTCTACCTTTAAAGAAGGCCAAGACACAGGGGTTTAACAGCGAAGGCCTCCTTTGGTGTTAGTCGGCGTCGCTCCCTCCACGTGCCCGCCGCCGCCCGACGTTAGCGTCTCCTCTCCCAAAAAGAGGTCCCCAAGTCCCCTTTACCCCTCAGTCAGCCCAGCCCTTCTTTCAGGTGCCCGTCAGCCCGCTGTCCAGAGAGGTACCGCCTGCATTGCCTGGTACCCAAGTGCCTAGAGACAAGTACTGCCGGTACCTAACACGAGAAACGAGCCTGGGAAAGGGGGGCTCATTCGGGTTCCTGCGCCGCAGAAGCTCCAGCACCAGACGGCGCGACACCAGCAGGCTCCAACCAACGCTTGAGGACTTGGAGTAGAAGTACCTAAGCTTACCTTGCCTACCTTAAGCCTTCCACTTCTTGTCTCTCCTCCTCCTCCTCGGGCTTGTCGCCAGCTTCCCTTACCCTACCTCACCCTTTCGTCCTCACTCCTTGCTCTTCCTCCATTCCTTACCACTCCCTCTCAACGCGGCTCATTGTGAACCTCACAGCTGCCACCACCCACCATCATTTTCTTTCCTTTCCAACCTTTTTCCTCTGGTGGTGTTCAAATCGCTGCGCCCGCTCTTTTCGCCATCTCTTCTGGGCAATCCGATCCCCGACTCGCTCCGGCCCACATCCGCCGTCTCCGTCGCCGCATCTCACCCACCTCCGACCCCCGACAACACCGATCGCCAACCCTCTTGGCCTTTCTTGGACACAGCATCCCGCTCTCTTGTAGTTGAAGTCTCTCAAACGTAGCCATCATGACCACTCTCCCGACAACGGAGAAGCCCATGGCCTCCAAGGCCGCTCACCCGGCCTTATTCATCGCGTATGTTTAGACACCCTCGCCGTCGCCTTCAACAACGTAGTCTTGACAACTCATCTAACCGCCGCGTAGGAGTTGGATCTTCTTCTCAAATCTGACCATTCTCTTCAACAAATGGTTGCTTGACACGGCAGGCTTTAGTAAGTTGAACGCGTCTTTGTTGACTTTACCATGAGCTAACCGCAACGTAGAATATCGTATGTAATTCTCATCGCCAAGTGAACACCTCATCGCTCTTGGCACGCGCTTTTCATCCCAACTCACTAACATTATTTAGCCGTCATTCTCACCTTCTGGCATCTGGTCTTTTCAACTCTTGCAACCCAGGTGCTGGCGCGCACCACAAGCCTCCTCGATGGCCGCCACAAGGTCAAGATGACCGGTCGCGTCTACCTACGCGCCATCGTCCCCATCGGTCTGCTGTATTCGGGCTCCCTCGTCTGCTCCAACCTGGTCTACCTTTACCTATCCGTCTCCTTCATTCAGATGCTCAAGGCCGGCGCGCCCGTCGCCGTTCTCATCATTAGCTGGATCTGGGGCGTCGCGGAACCCTCGATGAAGACCTTTTACAACGTCCTTCTCATCGTAGCCGGTGTGGCGCTCGCCTCGTTCGGCGAGATCGAGTTCTCTTGGATCGGCTTCATCTTCCAAATGGGCGGCATCGTTTTTGAGGGCATTCGCCTCGTCATGATTCAGGTTTTGCTGAAGGGCGATGAGAGCGCGCAAAAGATGGACCCCCTCGTCAGTCTGTACTACTACGCCCCGGTCTGCGCTGTCATGAACTTTTTCGTTGCCTGGGCCAGCGAGTTCAGCAAGTTCAACGTGGAAGATCTGCACAGGACGGGCGTCAGCATGCTCCTCCTCAACGCCGCGGTCGCCTTCATGCTCAACGTCTCCAGTGTGTTCCTCGTAAGTTTCGCACAGCCTCGAATCCCACAACTCGTATCGCTAATAGGCCCCACAGATCGGCAAGACCTCAGGCCTGGTCATGACCCTCACCGGCATCCTCAAGAACATCCTTCTCATCATCGCCTCCGTCCTCATCTGGAAGACCAGCATCACCTTCATGCAGTTCGTTGGCTACTCGGTCGCGCTCTTCGGCCTCGTCATTTACTCAACCGGATGGGAACAGCTGAAGACCTCAGGCCAGGGCGCCTTTGCCAAGGTTCGCGGGGTCTGGAACTCTCAGACTCTCGACGAGGGCCGGCTGTCCCCTCTTGTCCGCCGCGCAATCTTCTTCGCTCTGCTCGTCTTCATCACTCTCCTGCTCGTCATCGGTTTCGCATACAAGGGCTCAGCGGCGCCGGCGGACTGGTTGAGCAACGTCTCTTCTAGCCGATAAAGTATCTTTCTGGATTATTCTGTACAAAGCGGGGAGTTTTGGAAATACCTATGCATCAAAAGACTTTTTGGATCCATTGTGGAAAGAAAAAAAGAAGGAACTGAAAACGAAAAATATTTTAAGGTGTTAATGCCGGATGGTCGGTGTTTCAAGGCGCTCCTCCAGGTTTTATTAGGGCGCCTGTGTGTTGAGGAGGATTGTATACCATGAGCAGGCATTGCGTAGATATAGCCTTTGGGAAATACATGACCATGAACGATGTACATTCTGTAATATTGCTATGCAGGACGGTGGATTCGAACATGCAGACAGCGTTCACAGTTCCAGCAAAAGGACTGCATCCATCCTATCGCGGACCGCGAAACTCTGCAAGCCAAGGCTTACTAACACCGCGTTCCAACACAAACGTCATGCCAATACCCTCACCCGCCTCCTCGCTCTAAATGGCGCAAAGAAGCAATGTAAAGTAATGTAAGCACCAGCTGAGCCGAAAGCTTGATCCCACTTCCTACCGACGTTTTTCAACTTGAGTAAAAGCAAAATCTTACTCAGCCGGAGGGCCATCACATCAAACTCAACCACTCAGCTACAAGTCCTCCCAGCATACAAACCCTGGTCAACCACACACACACAATGACCTTTACTGAGGACCTCATCGCCTCAGACCCGGAAGGCTACCGCCTCGCCACGCAGTCCCCCTTCCTCACCGCCGCCGCCGCCGGCACGTGCCCGAAATCGCACCTGAGCTACTGGCTCTCCAACGACAGGCTGTACATCCACTCCTACATCAGGGGCGCCGGCCGGCTGCTCAGCACCGTTCACTTACCGGATCTCGTTCCCGACGACCTAACAACGCCTCAGAAACTGATCATCTGGCTCACCGACGCTCTGTGCAATATCAACCGCGAGCTGGCTTTCTTCTATAAAACGGCGGCCGAATACAGACTCAAACTCAACCTGCCCGCCAAGGACGGCGTCGTCGAGTCGACCGCCAAGCTCGAGGGGCTGCACCGGTTCGAGAAGCTTTTCGCAAGCTTCGAGACCGGCGAGGAGGTCCTGCCGTGGCTCGAGGGCGCGGTGCTGTTCTACGCGACGGAGAAGTGCTACCTGGACGCGTGGACGGGCGTGAAGGATGCGCTGGAGCCGGGCAAGGACGGCAGCGACGATGCGGATGGCGGGGCGCTGAGGAACGCCTTCATTCCCAACTGGACGAACGACGACTTCTGGCAGTTTGTTAACGCGATGAGGGTGACTATCGAACATGGCGTTGCGGAGGCCGTCGAGGCGGGGAAGGCGAGTGAGGAGGAGTTGAAGAAGCGCGCGCTGGCGGTTTGGAACCAGGTCCTGGTCGCTGAGAAGGAATTCTGGCCCGACATGACGAAAGAAGATTTTGGAGAGACAGAATCATAGGTAATCAAGTTCAGTGTGTGAATGCAACACTATGTGTCATTACCAAACGAATTAAAACAACCATTAAGCTCGACTTGACCAAGGAGCCCCCCCTTTCCAGCCGCACCACGTTTGTATGGTATTACCGCGGACCCAACGCCATCGCTATGCTTTGTTTAAACAGAACCCCGTTTCATTCTTCTCCTTCCAAATAGCCGTGTCAACTAAACCGCGATTACTCGAGGCGACCGTTCGGAGGTGTTGTTGCCATCTCCCGCGTTGTTGCTCTCGTCCTGCGTGACACGAACGGCCGACATGGTGCCAACGTCTGGCGGTTCAGCCGTTACGACAAGACTCTCGGAAGGAGCATCATTTTCCTCATCATCCGTCTCAGACACCTCTGTCACCGTGCAAGTGAACGCAGGCTTCTCTACCTTGGGTGTCTCGTCGTCGTCTACAGCGATGTCGGTGCTTGCAGGAATAGCTGCCTCCAATTCAGCGACCTCGGATGCTGGAATAATGTTGGAGTCGACGCAGTCGTAGAACAGCATGAACACATTGTGCTGATCCAACAACTCTTCCTCGTCAATCTTTCTGACGCTTTCGTCGCTTAGGCGCCACCAATCCATCTCCACATCGGCAACTTCATCCTCAGGGGTTGGCTTTCGGATAGGTGAGCTCGCACCATCACTGTCGTCCTCGCCTTGATCTTTGCTCTCGCCAGTCGAAGGGGGCGCATTACGGGGGAATTTTCGGTAGCAGACATAGTGGCCGTTCTCGTGCCGGCCATAATGTGTGACGACGGCGCGAAGCTCGTATATGGGTCCAGTGATGTACGACTTCCGCTTGTCACCTGCGATCATAGACGATCTTGGGTCAAGTAGCCATTGCTCCTCGTCAGACGCATCGCTGAGAGCTGGAGATGCTGATCCGTCCACCGGCTTGCCCGTCGTTGGCTTGGGGGCGCTACCCAAACACCATGGGCCAAGATCCAGTGTTAGTGGGAAGCGAATTCCTGCAGAGTTCTTGTACATCATGCCGGTGTTTTCATCAAAGACGGATCTGTTCATGTGTACGGCAAGACTTTGAGGCGGGCGCGCAATCACTGCTTGCTTCGTCTTCGTCGAAGACACCTTGAAATTGGCCGGGAACTTGCACTTCTCTGTGAGCGTCTTGTCCTCAAAGTCGTCCTCTTCCAAAGCTTCTTCCACGGCTGCCAATCGCGATCTCGGCTCCTTCAACTTCTCCTCACTCGTAGTTCCCGCAGCTCTGTCGAGGAGTACCGTTAACAGCCTTTTGGCCTTCAGTAAAGTGCACTTGCCGCACTCGACACCTTCGATAGACTCAATATGCGCATACGCGTCCAATAGCTCGTAGAGATCGTGGTCGTTGCCGTCCGTGTTCAAGCTCAGCGTAAGACAATTGAATGGAATCATGGAGAGGCCGTCGGAGTGGCCGCATTCCACGCATGCAACTCGCTGCGCAGTCAGACCTTCCAGGGGGTTGCGCAAAGATTTCGATGCGGAGCTGATCTTGGAAATGGTCGACAGGCTCTGGTAACCGCTATCATCGCTGTGTTGGCTCGTAGCGGTGTCGTCGTTGGCGCAATCCGACTCGAACCCAGACAGTTTCTGCGTCGCTTTCGCGACCTTGGCAATCTCCTTGTCGACCTCGTCGAGAAGTTTCGAAAAGTACTCCTGCGCGTCCTGTTGTTGCCAAGTGCTCATGTTCTTGAGAGAGCCCGGCGTCCATAACGTCTTTCCGTAGTTTCGAGCGCTGTTTAAATCTTCGATAAGGTTGCGTAACGTATCGACTGCCTCGACCTTCTGTCGATCGAGTTCGGGGTCTTGGACGGGGTCGGCGAGATATTTAGGTAGTGTCTTCAACGAAGCGAGGCCTTGGAGAATACTGTTTTGGTAGCAAGAGTTGTCGAGATTTCCTAGTCCTGGAGGATGGTCGCTGAAGCCCTTAAAACTCATCATGGCGCCAGACATGGAAGATAGGCCTCTGATGCCGGCCTGAGAGACCGTTCCCATGATGCCTCCCTCTCTGTCCATGCCAAGTATCTTTCGGAGGAGTTCGCTCTTCGCGGCATGTGTTCTCGCCTGGTTCTGAAGCATCGGTTGGGGAAATAGTGGTGGATGCAGCCAGCCTTCGAGAAGGGTCAAGGCGTCGTATGGCGTAAGCCAAACAATGATGTCCCAGAGGGTCTGACCGGCGCGGGAGAGCAGGGTGGTCGGAAGAGCAGATGCGCCGAAGACGGAGTAAAGCGCAGTGAAGACGAGTGCCAAAAGGGAGACGACGACGCTCGGCTCGTTCAGCCTGGTCCAGAAGCTCTGGTTGTTATATTGGTGGTATTGCCGGTAAGGATCAGGTCCGTCGTAGAGATCCTTATATCTCGAGCCCGGCGAATTCATACTGCTAAGGGTTTGGCGGGAGTGTTTTCGTTGCTAATAAGGCAGTTGGCGTGACAAGAAACGAAACGAGCAGCTTTAAGCAAGCTTGAGCGACACAGAGACCGAAAAGCCGGGTGCTGCCATGTCGGGGATGATTAATCGCAGGGGTTGACTAGGGGGGCGATGAGTCGCGAATTAGGAAGTGGTGGGCGCAGCTCGTGTGATCAAAGAAAGTAAAGGCTCAGGAATGTCTAGATTTCTGCACGGTTAGACGGTTGGAGAGAGAGAGGGAGGTGTCCGTACAGTTCCACGGTTCGTTAAGCAGAGGCGATGAGCGGGACCAAGGGTTCCACCAGGGGCAAACTCTCTGACAAGGATTGGTCGGTGCGCAACGTGCTGAGATGCAAGGCTTGTGATTGTCCCCGCTCTTATCGGGATAAGATACCTTAAGAAATTCTGACCCGATAAGGAATTTTCTTGATATCCCCCACAATGAACCCGACCGCTGATGCTAGACCTACCTGCATCACCAGAACGAAACGAAACAATTGGTCGCAAAGATGGCAAAGCCGGGCGTTTCCAAGAAGAGCAGACGTAAGGAACTTTTTACTTGCTTGTAGTAACTTGTCTAACCTTGCGACCAGAACCCTCAAAGCACTCGAGAGCTGCGAGGCGCGCGACGGATGTAGACATCGACACCGACAAGTCTCTCAAGAATGTCAAGCCCCCCTCAGAAGCGGTCGATCGGCCGTCAGTCCTGGCCGCCAAACACAACTCGGGTGTTTCCAAGAGGACGAGCCACCGCAAGTCGCAGCTAAGCGCCAAGGCCAAGAAGAGAAACGAGAGGGCCATGGACCGCGCCGAGGCCATCATGGACAGGACCGCCAACAAGGTTGAGAAGAGCAAGAAGTCGTCGCGTCTGATCCAGGAGCGTAGCAAAGATTGGGACAACGTCAACAAGCACAGTCTTATCCAGAAGAAGTTTCCCGATGAGGAGGATCTGGACAAGGAGGAAAGGAAACAGAGGAAGCAGGTCGTCGCTGAGAAGGAATGGGAGACAGACGAGGAGATGGATGGCGCTGATGACGGAGATGCGCCAGCCGTCGACGCTGTGCAGGCGCCACCGCCGCCGCAAAACGACGACTTCGACGAGGAGATTCTCTAGTTTTGTCATTTCTCGCTTCACATCGGATTGCTCCAAAAGAGGGGTCTTGTTAGACTGCGCCTCTGGCAGGGCTATGAGACTTATGATAGATACCCTAATGATGTTGGTCCAGATCATCCAATGACTACTCCTATGCGTCTGCATAACATCGAGATCATAACCGTGCCTTTAAGGGTTCAGATCTGAGCTGCACCGATTTCGTCCCCGTGCTTGAAATTGAAGTCTACCTCATTAGGTAGTGTCATCGCTGCAGCGCTGAGCTCCACCTAAAGCCACTAAACTTACAGGGCCCCCAGCAGGGAAACGCTTCTGCAGGTCCATCCTGACCCCAGCCTCTCGGTCCAATGCAGCCCAGGGTGCTGCTCCCATCAAAGCAACCCGACTCGAAGCTCGATTTTTCAACTTTACCTCTTCAACCTCATCCTTCCATCTAACCACCAGCCAACATGCCGCCCAAGCGCATGACAGCGAACCCCGTCAAGCCGGCGCGCTACCGCGCCGGCAAGCCCGCGGCACCGGAGGCCGACTCTTCAGACTCGGACGCCAGCGATGACGAGACCGAGACCGCGCCCAAGAGCAAAACCATCCCGCCGCCCCCCAAAGCCGCGAGCGCAGCCAAGATCGCCAGCAACCTCGGCAAGGTCAACCTCGACGAGCGAAGGCGTCAGGCACAGGAGCTGGAGGATCGCAGGATAGCACGGGAAAAGGCCGAACGTCTCGCCGCCGAGGAAGGCTTCGTGACGGAGGAGGAAGAGGAGGCAGAAGGCGGCGACGACGATGAGGAGGAGGAAGAGAGCTCGAGCGAGGAGGAGAGCAGCAGCGAGGAAGAAGCGCCCCGCCGCCTCATGATCCGACCAAAGTTCATCCCCAAGAACCAACGCAACGCGGCCAAGGACCCGTCAGGCGCAGCAGCCAAGGACGAAGAAGCGCGTTACGCAGAGGAGGAGGCGCGCCGCAAAGCGGCTGCCGACGCGCTGGTCGAGGAGCAGATCAAGAAGGACCTCGCCGCGCGCGCGGCGGGCAAGAAACACTGGGACGATGAGGAGGCCGAGGGCTCTGACGTGGACACGACGGACGATCTGGACCCGGAGGCAGAACACGCCGCCTGGAAGATTCGCGAGCTTAAGCGCATCAAGCGCGAGCGCGATCGTATTGCGGAGCAGGAGGCCGAGTACGCGGAGCGCGAGCGTCGACAGAACCTCACGCAGGAGGAGCGCGACGCCGAGGACGCCGCGAAGATCGCCAAGCAACAGGAGGAGAAGGACGGCCGTGGCAAGATGTCGTACCTGCAAAAGTACTATCACAAGGGCGCCTTCTACAGCGAGGAGGCGAAGGCCTATGGCCTGGACAAACGTGATCTCATGGGCATGCGGATTGCGGATGACATCAAGGATCGGAGCGCGCTACCTGAGTACCTGCAGAAGCGTGACATGACGAAGCTTGGCAGGAAGGGCGCGACGAAGTACAAGGATCTCAAGAGCGAGGACACGGGACGGTGGGGAGAGTTCGACGACCATCGTGGTCGTGACAGGAGAGGTTTCGACAGATACGGCGTGGACGAGCGCTTCCAGCCGGACGCTGATCGCAGTGGACAGGGGGCCAACGCTATACCACTGGGTGATCGAAAGACGCCTGGCAGGCCGGGTCCTCAGGATGGCTACAGAGGGGACCGTTCTCGGGATGAGGACAGATATCGGGATGGGGGCAGCGACCGCAGGGACAGAGACAGGAGAGACAGGGACAGAGATGACGATAGGTATCGGTCCCGGGATGATCACCGTCGCAGGGACAGGTCGAGATCGAGATCGCCGCGACGAGACTCACGAGATGACTACAGGGATCGGAGGAAACGAAGCCCTTCCCGCGAGAGATATGACAGTGACAAAAGGCGGCGCGTGGATTCGAGCTAAGGCCGTCCCTCAAATTGTATTAGAGTGTATCCTAACCAGGCTCACCAAAGAGCGATGCTGAATATACCCGAACTCCAAACAAACCATTGCCGCCTTCATCCATATAGAAGCATCATTCACGTCATGCTCAGATTTTCTTGACCTCCACACGCGCGCGATCAAAGATACCATGGCTCACCATGGTGTCTGATGAAGCGTCGACCTTTGGTGGGAACAGCGTCAAGCGCGCATACGTGCCTGCGCCTCGCCTCTTGGATAGGTAGCCTGGGTTGATTACGAGCACGCTCTCGACGACCTAGGAAACGTTAGCAAAAAGGCAGGGAAGTGAGCAGGGGTATGACATACCTTTGCGAACGGCGGGAGGAAACTGGGGACAATCAAAACATCAGGGCGAACGTTTACCATCTCGCCGAGCTTAAGGTAGCTGATATCCAGCATGGCGCCTGGTGGCATGCCCTCCTCTGTGCCTGTCTTGGGCAGCTTTTGACGGTCTGTGGGTGGGAACAGCGGGAAGAAGTGCCTCTGCTCGAGTAGATGCCGGGAAAGTCTTGAGAGAGGGTTGGTGTCTGATGGGCGTGCTGCAAGCTCTTCGTGCTTCAGCTGCCAGAGAATATCCTGGGAAGAAATGCCCATAACCATTTCATTCATCGACAAGGTCATGGGGTTGGTGACGATTCTTGCTGTCTTTGGCAGGCCAAGGTCCTTCTTCAAGACAGAGTCTTGAGGCCATGAGACGTGCTTGTCGATGACATCTCGCACCGATGGGATGAGGAGTATGGTGATACTAGGGTTCGCCGAGACGAGACGGTTGAGTGCAGGAGAGAAAAGGTACTTGAAGACAGTGGACATAGTGGCGGTGTCCGGGTCGATGACGGCTTCCTCGGGAAGGTCGAAGTCGCCCATGGCAATCAGAGGATGTTCACTGTCAATGAACGGTCCAGTGAGAACCAGAGCATCGGCATACGTATCGGCCGCCTGGTCGCAGAGGGCATGCAGAGGCTCGAAATCGAGGTTGTCGTCTGCGGTGTAGGGCCCGGAAGCGTAGATAACGTTCAGCGGTGCAGGGTCCGAGTCGGTGTCCATGGCGTCTGCGTCTCCTCGCAGTTTTTCGCGGTGTGCAGCCAATGTAGCAGGCGTCGAGGCGGCATTGGGAAAGAGGGGCACTTCAAGAACTTCCTCGACTAGAAATTCGTTGCCGGAGGTGTTGATACCCTTCAATGCCACGATTTGACCAGGGAAGAAGCTGAAGCCCTTCTTGACACTGCGCATATTCAACGAGACTCGTTGACCGCCACCCATCCGCCTCGACAGCTCCAGTACCAGAGACGCCGCGTTCAGCTTTCCCTCCGGCGCATCGGACGCAATGCGACCGACAGCAATTACAGCCGTAGTGCTCTGAGATGCCGCATTACCAAACTCCGAAAGATCAAGCTTGTGGTACTCTTGGACGATGCCCATGAACTCGTCTATCCTGTCGTCGAGAATCTCTGACGCTTCAGACAGCTTCATAGCAAGGGGCTTGTACGCAAGCTTCTTTTGGTCTGATGCGGCCGTCAACTTGATGCGGGGTTCGGAATAAGGGCAGATTGGGACTTCGGGGGCGTTGAGGTGGTCGTTTAGCACTTCAATCGTATCGCCGGCATTCTGTCTGTCGTTGAAGGAACTCGGGCTGCAGGAACTTGTTAGTTCTTACTCATTGCGACCCTCCTGAAGCTCCCACTTACGACTGCATGGAACTGAGTTGGTCCTCCATCTTCGACGACCCCTTGTACTCCGGAGAACTAGACGTAATCTCTGCCTTGATCCTTGACATGGTTGGTGTCTCCTTCTTCCGCAAACTGCTCGGTTTGTTCAACCTCCCAGACGACGGAGTGCTGGGCACCAGGCCATCCAGCATGCCGAACACATCCCCGCCTCTCGCCCTTGGGGTACCGTGTGCGCGCTTCTCGGTCTTGATGTGTGTCTGTTGCTTGTTGGCCCTCTCCAATGCGTCCTGGAGATCTTTCTTGAAGTTGCGCATAGGGCTGATCTGGGGGTTCATGGCGTCTATGTCCATCTTGATGCAGTACGACTCCCATTTGTAGAAAAGGTCCTCGGCGGAAAGCTCGTGCAAGCGCATGATGGACTGCAGTTCGGACAGGACATCGGGCTCGAGGCCCTTGTCCCCCGTGGTAAAGAGCTGCTTGAGCTCGGCTTCGGTCATGGCGTTGGTTGTGATCACGCACTGCTGTTCCTGGTGGTTGCTTGTCAATTGGCGGGCTTCTGGAGGAAAGATGGACAATCTTGGGCGACGCGTTGAGCGCGTCGCTGGTAAGGATAGCGCGTAAAGTGCAAAGTGCGGGGCATGTACAGTGCACTAGTCTTTTTTGCACGGCTCTGGAGCCCCCCTTTCAGTATTCTAGGCCATGTTGATTGCTTAAAATAGATGCACCTCAATCACTTGCACCAATTCAATGCAGAACTTTCAGGGCTCTCTTTTTCAGAATCTGTGATCTTATTGACCGTTCTCGATGTCAATAGCTATGCTAAGAAAATAAACGAAGTCTCTGCATCTCCATTCCAAAGCAACTCTCGTAAGCCATAGGGTGCAATTTTCTAGTGAAGTCCTCACCCAGTTCTCCGTAATATGGCATCCCTCCAATCACCAGACTGGGTTTCGCACCCGAAGCTCTTGACGCTCTGCTTCCTGCTTCGCCATGAGATCCTCCGTAGCTTTCTTAGCCTGCTGAGGACCAAATTTGATGATGGCCTCGGTACTGACTTCGTACCGGACGGTATTGTCCTCGTTCTTGCCGACGACATCGGCCATGCCTCCAGTGAGCTGGTCAAGGTAGACCCGGTAGTTCTCCGAGTACCGAATTTGGCAGCGGTTCGTCTCCGACTCGGAGTGAGCAGTCAAGGAAGACGCGTCTTTGAACCACCGCAGGCAACCGGGGCACTGGAGCTTCGTAATGTTGTGCGAACCGGCCTTGAGATGGCTGATCAACGTGGCTGCGGAACCGAAGTTCTTCCTGTTTCTCGTCAGCATGAACCTCGCGGTGTGCAGCAAGAGCAAATTTCTTACGTGCAAGATCCATGGGGGCACTTGAACTTGCGAGTGTACGGGTTGTGGTACTTCATGACGTCGAAGTTGGGGTGCTGAGGGTTGTGAACATCTTGGACCTTCGAGGCTCCTTGGGAACTTCCCAGACTCTCTGTCTTTGGAGTACTTGGGACCGTAAGGTTCGTCGAAGCAACAGAGCCCTCTTGAGCGGAGTTTCCTTGGGTAGAGCTTCCCTGGGTAGAGACTCCGTCGGCCTCTTGAATCGCAGGGAAATCTTCGGGTCTGAAGAAAGACGGGTGTGCCATCTGCGGCTTGGAGATGTTGCTCATAGCCGACTGTTGAACACTCGGATGAAGCCTCGGAAAATAGTCGCCGAACTGCGAACCGCTCCGCTTCTCGAGCTCATGAGCGAAAGTGAGCTTCTCGGCTCTGTTTCTGTCCACGTCCGAACGGCGGATCTCAGGGCACTCGTCGTGCTCCAAGTGCTTCATGAATCCAGCTAGACGTGTGAAGCGGCTGCCACATCCGGGGCAAATGATGTTCTGCTCATGAGGGTGGGACTATGGTTTCACATTAGTCGGCACTTCAACAACATGGAGTTCTTGGTGGCCGCGACACCTTCCATAGGAGAAGTGCTGTTGGTCTTTTCGGGCAGGACCAGGGGCAGGACCAGGGGCAGTTGGGCTTACCTCGATCATGTGCTGTTTCTGGGCGTCCATGGTCCTGAACTCCATGGCACAGACGGTGCAGTGGGCGTGGGTGCCTCGAATTTGCATAGCCCACAGCTTATGCTTAATCAGAGACGCCTCATCGTCGAAGAGCTCATTGCAGGTACGGCACAGGATCGCCTTGTGAGGCGGTACCTTGAGCTTCTGCTTCGTGCCACCGATCGTGGCTGCCTGGGATACGGATCTGATCGAGGCACTGCTGACAGACATCTTGGGCATTCAGGAGGTTGACGAGAAAGCCGGTGAGTGTGCGTCGTTGGTAATGATGAATCTTGAGACGATGTGAAGACCGAGAATGGGTCTCAAAGTCGAAGGACAGGTGGCTCCGCGGTAACGCGGTTGGAGAACAACAGTTGCCTGGTGGCAAGTTTCTGAAAGTGAAGTAAACCTGGCTGTGGTAAAGAGTAAAATTCCGATCTTGAAAATGCTATGTGAGTAGATGACCAGTGAAGCGGATTATTTGTGTTGGAAGGGAGAAGTTATGGGAGGAAGAGGACAGGAGCGTTTTGATGCGATGGTGCCCAAAGTGACGGATATTCGAGGCAGGCAGGAGAAGAAGTTTCGGAAGGCAGAACTTACCTGAGGGAAGGAAGTTGAGAGGCGCTGCTCTCTGCGGTAGGCACCTGCCGATATTTGGGAGGCAAGAGCAACCGGTGCGTGCGAGTTGTGCAGGAGGTAGGAAGCTACACACCTTGTGGAAGGGGCATTTGTCTTGTTGGTGTTCTCAGGGAACCGAGCGGATTGGAAATATTCTCGGATGGGGCCTTCCCAGGTTGGCGAGCGAATGGATATATCCGGTACCCTCGAGAATAAACAGTGAGTTTGAAGAAGGCTGAGGTGTTTCCCTGGCAGCTGTCAATTATTGATTGAGATTGATGGGTGCCTTAGAAATCGACATCGCTCTCGTGTCGATCGGGTGAAAGTTAGAATTTGTGATCGATAGATGTGGCTGCCCGTCTCTCTGTTTTGATTTCTCATCCTAGTAACGCTGAAATGAGGTCGGCGTAGGAAAGCACAGCCAGAAAGAGCACAAGGGCAATCATGATTCAATCTCAGAGTATTTTTCAGTAGTCACAAAATATGCTCTACTTCCAAAGAATAACAACAATCACTCTTTCTCATTAACTTGATATCTTGCTAAGCAAGGTTCATTCCTGTACAAACGGTTTCCTAGTTTGCTGCTGAGAAGGCAGCAAGTTTAACCACCCTTCAACAGATTAAGACAAGATCGCACAGACATGCAGTTCTACAGCTGCCTCTTTGTAATATCAACAAACAGAACTTCAACAAGGAAGCTCCAGAGACTAGGAGTATACAGGAGACTGAGACAATGTAGTTCAGCGACCAAAAGTACCTAAGTAAGCAGCCCGCATATTTCTTCGCGGCGTAAGCGACCCAACCAGCTGGAAGCACGACATGAAGTGAGGTCATATGTGAGCCAAGACGCCTGTCAGATTCCAAAATACTCTCCGCAGAGACGCTTGAGTATACTTTCGGGGCTTCAATTTCGTCCGGAAGGGATTGTAAGCGAGATGTTGTACCGGTTCATCGCAGTAGCTCGTGATTTCGATTCGATGACGGTCAAGCTTGTCGAAAATCTAGACCCTAGTGTCCCTGATCAGACCAAGAAAACGCAAGAAACCTCGCCATTCCAACTGAAGGCCATCTTCCAACTCACGTGAAGAGATCTATCCGTGGGGGCTGGAAAGAAAGACATGAGAAACCCATGTGCCCCTCGGTCCTCAGAATGTCTCGACGTCAAGATCACGCAAAGCCGATGTCTCACTCGCCCCGATATATCAGGACGTCGTTCGCATGGCTGCCAGGTTGGCATGGTCATGATGCTAGACTTGTCTCGGTTCATAGGGATCTAGGCGTTCGATGGCCTATTAGAAACCAACGTCCACTCCCAGCCATCCATTCCCGTTTCCTTGATTATGCAAGTTCTGGCCCCCTGACATCAGTCATCCGTAACGCCAACTCCCCGCTGTCTCAGACACCCTGACGTCTAACTGGTAATTCTATCGAGAAAACGAACAGCCGCTACAATTCCATGGCAGCGATACATAGCACTCTGTCGGGGTAGGGTGTGGGAATCGAGCCTCAAAAGGCCGATCTGCCGCGTTTACAGCGGAAAGTCGTCGCAGTCCTGATGAATTTTCATGCCAAGGACCGACTGGGACAAGGGAAACACATCCGGCGCTAGATGCGCAATCTTCCAGAGTACTCAGTAAGCCTTGATATCTATCGAAGACCGCCCCAGCCTCCCACGATGGTTTGAATCATAGGCCCTTCCACGGGACGGAAATCGACGAGACGGCATAGTGAGACACTGCAACGCCGCCATCGCCGACATCATACAAAAAGTCCAAGGTTCAGCTCGCCCCGATCTCCAGGTGTCTTCCAAATCAACCATAACCAGAGAGTGTCGGGGATAAAAAAAAAAGTTGCTTCCGATCTGCACCTTCTCCGACTTCGCGCCGACGTCTTTCAACACCGAGAACAAAGAGAAACCTCCGTACTAGAACCGCCGTGGCGTGCATGCTGACGATTTCTTTCCGAATCGGATCGCGTTGCCCTTTCAACAGTTGAGAGGGAGGCCCCATCTAGACCTGAATCTGCAAAGGCCTGGACGTTTGGTCTTCGTCCCGCTCGCGCCGGCAGGACCGTCTCCCCGGGTCGCCAGCCACATCGAGAACAACTCGACGCTTGTACTCGCCGAATCACCTCATCGTACCATCGGCAGAATACTAAAAAGTCTTCGTTGCCCCGACTGCGAAGTTTCTGATGCCGACGGCTCCTGCTTTTTCTTCTCTTTAGTGGAACCAAGCAGAGAAAACGGAGATCATCACAAGGCGTTGCCCACCAACCGCATCTACTCCCACTTACAAGCTACCTTCGGAGCAGTTCCGCTTTGAGGCTATCTACGAGCCTCTCGTCATACTTCTATACTTCTGATTGTTAGATCCTTTCTCGAGGAGAAAAAAAAAACCTCCACGATGTCTTCCACATTCTCCCACAAACTCAAGGCCGAGGCAATGGCTTGCCAGAAGACCGAGATGCCGCTCCCTCTCATCCCCCTCGTCTTCGTCGCACACTTCGCCCACACCGTGATCGATGTCCTCACAACAGGAGCCCGGCGCAAATCGGCCGCCATCGCAAACCACCTCGACTCCCTTCGCCTGCAAGTCCGCGGGCCGGAGCACTCCTTCGCCCCTTTCTCAAGGCTGCCCCCCGAGCTCCGCCTCAAGATCTGGAACCTCGCCATCGAGCCGCGGACGCTCACGGCGACGCACGCGCCCAACCCGACGCTTCTGTCGGTCAACCGCGAGGCGAGACACGAGGCGTTGAGGCGGTACAACTTGGTTAGACTGAACACCTGGGGAGACCGCAGGATCTACATCGACTTCCAGCGCGACAGCATCGCTGTGGTCGAGGGAAAGGGTGGCGGCGGCTTTCCCGTCCGCGGAGCGAGACACGTTGTCGTTGTCTGCGAAGAGCCGTTTCAGAACCCCGCCTCATGGCTCAAGTGCCGGTACCGCTCGGGTCTGGACTCCGTCACGCTTGTCCTTGGTGGTGCAATGAGATCAGATCTGGTACCGTTTCCTGAGATTCGCCTGTTGGGTACACCAAAAGACACGCAAGGCCGGCTGGGATTCTCTGATGAGGAGGTTGACAGGATAGAGGGTGAGCTTAGAGACCTGGCTCAAGGATGGGGAAGCACTGAAGTCCGTGTTGGAGAATTTGTATAAAGGAGAAGTAACGGAGGAACATGTTCGAGCTAGGGAGGCGTACTGTTTACTGAGAGCGACCAGAATACCCCTTTTCTTTTGTTGCAATCTTCGTCTCTTTTCATAGAATACTCATCATCACACAATATACACAACAGTCTTGATCTCATAGCCTGCTACGCTCGTTGCCCAAGTAGGCGCCGCCAAGCTTCAACATGTCAACCGCCTCCTTAACCATCTCATCGACGATCTCACCCGCCGGCTGGATCTTCTCAATGGCGCCGGCCACTTGTCCCATCAAATGTGGCGGATCAACGTCGTTGCCCTCGTTGAAGTCGAACTCGATAGGCACGATACCCTGATCGCAGAGCTGCCTGATTCGATCCGGCTGCGAATGCCACTTGCGAATATACTCGTTCGTCTTCATGCGCAATGGCCTTCCGGAGAGTACGAGAGTGCGTTCCGTTCCCTCGAACCCACACTTGACGACCTCTTCCTTGTGCTCCTCACTACATCCAGCCTCAACGGATGCCACAAAACGCGTGCCAACCCACACGCCAACAGCACCCTGCATCAATGAGCTCGCAAGTGATCGGCCGTTGTAAATACCACCCGCCGCAACAACCATCGCCGGGGCGCCATTAAGCATCTTGGGCTTGTACCTCCTCGCAACGTCCACGACGGCAGGGATGAGCACCGAGTTCGCCACATCGCCCGTGTGTCCACCACCCTCCCCGCCCTGCGCGCAGATGATATCGACGCCCAGATCCAATGCCTTCACAGCGTGCTTCGGGTGGCCGACCATATTCATGACGTAGATGCCTGCGTTGTGCAGCTTGTCAATGACATGCTTGGGCGGCACGCCGACGGCGCTGACGAACAGGCGAGCGCCCGACTCGATGGTGATGTCGATGAGCTCGTCGAGCTTGCCGCCCGTGTAGTCGTGATTGGTCTTGCGGGCGTTGCCGCCAACCTGCGGCAGAGCGAGGTCGACGCCGAAGGGGAGGTCTGGAGACTTGAAATTCTCCTTCATTTCGGCGACGATCTCGCGCAGCTGGTCCGGGGTGTACTGGAAGCCGCCGATGACGCCGAGACCGCCCGCATTGGAGACGGCGGCGGCGAGGGGCCCGCCAGACGTGCGCGCCATGCCGGCGAGGAGGATGGGATGCTTGATCCCTAGAAGGGTGGTTATGGGCGTGGTGATTGGGCCTGAAGGTGCCATCTTGTTTTGTATAGCTGGGTGAGCCTGATCTGCTGCAAATGAGATGTAGCGAGGATCAAGCAAAGTGTAGAAGTACTGATTAATTAGAGTACGGTATGGTCTAGTGTAGGAAAATTAAGGAATGTAAACAATGAATCGAAAAGAAGGCAAGATCGAGGAATTTGGAACTTCAATACATCACTTGGTTTGCGGTTGGAGAGCAAGCTACCTAGGTAATCCGGGGAAATCATATCGGGAGGTGAGTGTGTGGGGTTGGAGCTCTGTTGCGGGGAAACACACCGAGGCAATTGCCTTCTTGGGACAGCAGCTCGCCCAAGTAGGCCCCGGCTCCGAGTGGTATGAAACCATACGCCACAGGTGCATGTGAGCTGGCCATCTTCTAGAAAGCAGCCCCGAAGTCCGATTGCTGGCTCAGATACCTTGGGATCCGGTGTGGGTATGGGGCTTAAGTGTGGCTTCAGTCCGCATGATTGCTTCTTCCAAAAACACAACGATGCGAGGCGATTAATAATCGTAAACTGTACTCCCATGATCATGCTCCTCTATTGAAATGCTCATATCCCGCAAGGACGTTGGTATCGTAAATGACATGACTATCGTCGGCTGGACCGACTATTAAAACACCAGCGGAAATCAGCGCTTGGGGTCGAACTGTATCTCGACGTCCATGAACATGACCCCATGCGTTTCCATCTGTGAGCTACCTGAAGCTCGGTAACCGTGCGGGAACAAATTCCTCGGTTGGTATAAACTGTCCTGCTTGCGTCGTAGTCCGGATTACCGGCGCTTCGTTACTGTTCGTTATTTCGACCGTCGGTTCGGGTGGCGACGCCTCCTGATTCGGAGCCTCTGACGCATATCCCACTTCGACGGTTTTCACCTCCGAGATGCCCTCGGAAGAAACCACTTCGGACCCGCTATCATGCAGGCCGCGTTCTGATGCAAGCTGCGATGCAGCACGCCGCTTGCGTTCAACTTCTTCGTCCTCTTCTCGCTGGATCCGCTCTTCCTCCCGCTGAAGATCCTCCATCGACGGGGCACGAGGCGTATCTGGGGTGTCGGGTATGCTGATTGAGTCTCTTCGTGGTCCTGGGCCGAGAAATGAGTGGTTCGAGTCGATTGTCGCTCTCGAAACCGTCCGCGATATCGGGCGCCCGTCTGCACGGCGCTTGCCCTTGCTGGCCTTCGTTCTGCTGCTGCTTCGGTCGTCTCGGACCTTGTCCAACACCATGAACTCGTCATCCAACGGCACAGCATCCTCTTCGCCCTCGCCATCACTGGGGAACAGGTCGCCCCTTGACCGATACGAGTCCGACGTGTCCCCCGACCCTGTTGTCCCGCTTCGATTTCTAGTCTTGGCAAAGCGACTTTGATAGATGTCGTCGTCTGAGTCGTCGTTTCCAAGAAGAGGCTCGGCCTCGCCCATACCCATCTCGTCATGCTGTCGGGGATGATCTTGCAGATCGGCCGCGCTGGGCTTGTATCGGAGCGTCTTGCCCAACTTCCACGGCAGCTTGCCCAAGAAGCCAATGGGCTGTGTACTTGGGATGATTGTTGGATCGGATTCCGACACTTTGGTGCTTCTGCCTCGTGTACCGTAGCTCATTCCTCGCTTTCTTTTGGGTTGGTCTTGCACCTCGCCGCCAGCGTGCTTTCGTTGGGACCCTGTGCCTGCGAGCAGGCGATCCCAGTCATCATTGCTCCAACCACCCAGGAAGCCGCCATCCTGATCCTCAGCGTACCAGTCGTCATAAAAGTCGAAACTGTATTCTGCCCGTCCTCCCGCGCGATCTCGCTCTCGCCGGCGTCTGGCCCGCTCTTCTCGATCGCCTAGACAGGGAGTGGCGCACTGTTCTAATGAGCTGGCGAGGGCGGCAAGGCAGGGATTGATGTAGTGATGCTGGAAACTCCAGATACCGGCGGCGGCATTCTCCGTCACCTCTCCAGCATTGTGGGAGATCTGGTTCCAGCGCTGGCGCAGTCGCGGGTCTTCGAGGAAATGCGTCGCCATGATGTTGATGGCTGCAGGGCGTGCGAAGATGACGTCGAGGGCATAAGAAGAGAAGGCGTTTTGCGACCGCGGCCTCGACCGAGCTTGGTTGTTTCTGTAGCGTCGAGGCCTCGAGGTTTGGAACCGACGTAGAGAAAGGAAGTTGTCCGAAATAAAATCCAACGGGTGGAGGAGAAGGCAATCAATGATCGAAGGGATCCATGGAACGTGGATAAGGCGAGTAATGTTGGTTTCAAGTGCGCCGAAAACAAAACGCAGTCAACCTCAGCTGTCAAAAGTTGGGCCCAACATTCCGCTGGCCGCAGTGCTTCCTTCTCCCTTTGGTGGCTCCAGGTCGCTTCGCTACAAGGCGTGGGACGGACTGCGCAAGCAGGGTGCGGGTGCGGGTGCGGGTGCTGTGCGTTGCGTTGCGGGTGCAGCAAGGTGCTAGTCGACTTCAGATTAGGTATCGACGGGAGGGAATGGCACGTGCGCGCACCCTGCTTATCTCACCTCACTGTTTTGTTTTGGTTTACTTGCAGTTTCCAGTGGCTGGGTGCGGAACATTGACAGTGGCACTCTCTCCTCAGGGCGTGAGGTCCGGTCAGCCACCGATTCACAGTGGTGCATCAAATCAACGGGCATTTGGGCACCTCTTGAGGTTCACTTCAGGCATGGATGGTTGCTGGGTGGATCCGGGGAAATTGCGAAGCTTCCGTTGGGGTGTTGGCCAGCTGTGGCTTAGTCTTTTGAGGACCCCTGGAACTCGACGTCACCCATCGCAGATTGATGAGAATTGGCATTTTTCAATGCACATTTCAGACCCCAGTTTTCCCTCTCTTCGCAAGGACTCACAGCGTACGTGCGGACATCTAGTCAAACAGCACACATGAAGTAACCTGATGTTGCTCCAACTTTCTTCTGTGGGTTCTCACTTCAACACCAGCAGAGTTTGATGGGCCAAAACTCAATCCAATAGAGACTTGAACGGCTTTTTGTGGAGATTTCGCTTGTATTCAGAACCGCTCAGCATAGACAGAACAAGGTGCGATATGACAAGAGTACACCAGTTCAAACAAAACTCCTAATCTCTGAAATCATTCAGCGATACACTTCTTCACCGCCGCGCCTGCTGTGGCCTTTCGGCGCACTCCAGCAAAGTGTCCACACCAGCCTCTGTGCCTAACTCCTGAAGAAGGATGAGACAAGCATGCTGATCTTTGATCGACAGGCGCGCCAAAAACGTGTAGAGAAACGGGCTGGCTCCTTGCGGTCTACCTGCCCGTCCGCATGTACCTCTGAGTCCTTGAGAACAAGGTCGCTGTCCGAAAGAGTGTCTCCCGTTGTGCCGTCCTCTGACTTCCTCCGTCCGGATTCCTAATGACCGTTCGTTGTAGCTTGAGGTACTGGCGGCCGCTCTGGGCCAAACGGCCTGGGCGGTTCCGGCTCTGCGGGCTGAGGTTCCTCCTCCGTGTCGTCGTCGAACTCGCTAGGGTCTTCTTCGCCCTCCTCCTCGTCTGAGTAGTCGCTTCCGTCGCCGTCCATGTGGCCGTTGCTGTCAGAGTAGCAGCTTTCCAACGTAGCTGCCATTCCTGGTGGAACCTTGCGACCCTGCTGCTGCATCTGTTCAATGATGCTCCTAAGCTTCTCCGCCCTGCTTGTCGCTTCTATCGCTTTCTTAGACAATTGCTCGCGCTCCTCCGCCATACGAATAATGTTAGCGTTGGTGGCCTCGTGCTTGCGCTTCATCGTCTCGTTCTCTCTTTCCAAGCGTTTAGTCTTCTTTGACATATCCTCCATCTCCTTCCTAAACGTCAAAAACAGGTCATTGCTGTTGTTCAGCGTGTCCTCAACCTTGATGTGTCAGTAAGAAAGCTTGTACGACGAATTCCAGCCAAACATGCCCGTACCTGCTTAAACTTGTCAACATAGACATTGAGCTGGTTTCGGAGCTCAGTCTCCGTCTTGGTGAAAGTTTGGACCTGGGCCTGGAGATTCCGCGCCCTGGTTGCCTCGGCTTCGGCAAGTTTCTTCTCACGCTCGTAGCGAGCCATGTTGTATTGCACCTCGAGCTCCTTCGTGCGCATTGCGGAATGAAAGTGCAGCTCTCGAAGCTCGTACTGCTCGATGAACGATTTGAAGCGGTTACGAAACCTCCCTAGTGTCAGCAGGAAAATCGAGCGCAGGTTAAATCTTCGATAACTCACAGGGTATCGACGCTCATGTCGACTACCTGCTTCCGAGGATGATCCTTCTCTTCTTGAATGTTTTCCAACTTAGCCAGCAGGGCCGCATGCTTCTCGTCGTATGCCGTGCTGTTGTGCTTCAAATTGTCTTGAAGGGTTTTATTCTCGTTCTAGGACAAGGTCAGCGTGAGCCTCCTCAGCCTCGTTGACGAGAGGTGCTGCAGACCTTGTACTTGTTGTTGTCTCGTTGCAGCTCACGACAGAGTTTCTCGAGCTTTTCCTTCAGGCCAACGGTCTTGCTGAGTTCGGTTCGATTCGCATCCTTTTCCTTTTGCAGAGCGTCACCCCGCTTCTTGTTCTTCTGATTCTCTCGTTCTACGCGCCGCATTTCCGCTAACAGTTCGCTAGACCTCCGGGTAAGATGGTCAATCTTTTGCATATCTCCCATCTTCGCCACTTGTTGAGCCAGGTCACGATTTGCGCGCTTCACCTCTCGTTCTGCATGCCGAAAGTCAGCTATCGATACAATGCCAGCTGATTGATGTACACCCGGAAACGAGCATGCAACTCTACAAGAAGATGGGGAAGGACCGTATCGATCTCGAAGAATAGCAGCCGGCGCATGCTTGACACCAGCCCGCACTTCCTCGCAGATTGGGGCTCGAGAGGGGTGCTGTGAGGCTGACTCTCACGCGACATACATGGCCCGGTCCGTCCGGCATGGGAAAACAACGAGTGGGAGGTGTTACGCACCAATCTCAGCTTCTTGGTCCTTCTCCCCAGCAGATTCCTGCTCCAACTGCGAGATACGCTGTGCGAGCAGTTTTGCAGACTCGTTGGAATCAACAGCCTTTTTTTGCTTCCCCTTCTTCAAGCCCGCAGCGGGCGCGTGGCCATGGGCGTCTTGACCGTTGGACATGGCGGCGTCTGCCTGGCTGGGCATGCCTCGGTAAGCAGGAGAGGGGCAGTTGTGTCGTCGTTCTGGGCGTGCTGGTCGTGGCGAAGACCTGGTCTTCGCATTCGTGTTCGATCGATCGAGCGGTTGCGGGTGCGGGTCGGAGTCGGCGTCGCAAAAATAAGCGGGTGCAAAGTTGGCCCAAGTTCTTCTTCCCCCTCGGCGGACTGGCTACAGGAATGAAACGGCGGTACGTTATGTTACGTGCTGCCAGTGGGTGTCGATGCCTTCATTGAGCCCCTTCGCAGAATTTTGGGCGTTGGACGGAATGACTGGCTAGAACGATACGGACCTAGGTAGTGGCGTGGCCTGCGGCTGGGTCCTGGTGTTCAGGCGTGCGCATTAGAAATGCCACTGTACTCGAGAAAAACGGGTGGAGGAGTAGTGCTGCAGGGCCCCTCGACTGCATACCCCAACAGAGAAGTGCGTGTAGTTTGTGCGTGGGCCGTTTCCCTCTTATAGAGTCAAGTCTTCCCCGCAGCTCGTCGTTTTGCCTTACATAGATATAAGCAGGCTGTGGTCTGTTGCCTAAAGTTTCTGCAGGTAGGTAGAATGCTCACGAGAATACTGTTGATCTCCAGTGACGATATCTGGTTGAAATGTCGTCAATACCAATGGCCCGGGTTTCGCGATTGCCGTACCAATACACCGTGGAAGGGAGGAGAATGAGACGCCGATGGAGAAGACCGGATAATTGCGTTGAAAGTGGTTTGATGCATATCGACCCCACAACGATGACGCTTAGTGCCTGGGTACCTATTGGCCAAAAAAATTCCATAGCAGTGGCAGACGCGGAGCACCTGCGAATCGCCTCCCGGTCCACAATAGAACGAGTATTACTAGGCCCGGTCCACGCGCGCAGACGTTCGTTTTTGTATCGGCTTGTCAGCTCTGTGACTCTCTTCCGGATAGGACGGTTTCCTTCGAGTATCCGGCCTGGACGACAACTACAGAGATGTTGCGCAACGCCGTCAACACGGCCAAGAAGGCCGTCACTGAGCTTTCCCAGTATCCCAAGCCTGGTGACAAGCTTCACGGCTTCACCCTCGTGCGCACCAAGCATGTGCCCGAACTGGAGTTGACGGCACTACACCTCCAGCACGACAAGACCGGCGCTGATTACCTGCACATTGCCCGCGACGACAGCAACAATGTCTTTTCCATCGGCTTCAAGACCAACCCTCCTGACGACACTGGTGTGCCCCATATCTTGGAGCACACCACCTTGTGCGGCAGCCAGAGGTAAGCTCTCCGTGCCATGGGAAGCTCTTTCGCTAACATGATTAGGTATCCCATTCGTGACCCCTTCTTCAAGATGCTGCCCCGCACCCTGTCCAACTTCATGAACGCCTTCACAGCATCCGATCACACATTCTACCCCTTTGCGACGACGAACGCGCAGGACTTCAAGAACCTGATGTCGGTATACATGGATGCAACTTTGCATCCTCTGTTGAAGGAGTCCGACTACACTCAGGAGGGCTGGCGTATTGGGCCCGAGAACCCTCAAGCGGCGAATGGCGAGGAAAGTGACCTTGTCTTCAAGGGCGTCGTCTACAACGAGATGAAGGGCCAGATGTCCGACGCTGGCTACTTGTTCTACATTCGGTTCCAGGACCATATTTTCCCTGACATCAACAACTCCGGCGGCGATCCCCAAAAAATTACCGACTTGACCTACGAGCAGCTGCGCAAGTTCCATGCTGAACACTACCACCCCAGCAACGCAAAGCTGTTCACCTACGGAGACATGCCTTTGGCTGATCATCTTCAGGAGGTCAATGCACAGCTCAGCGCCTTCGAGAGGATACAGGAGGATGCCACAATTCACCAGCCTATCAGCCTGACCTCTGGCCCTAGGGAGGTCACTGTTCACGGCCCCCTCGATCCTCTGGTGGACCCCGACAGACAGTTCAAGACGTCTGTCTCATGGATTATGGGAGACACCACCGATGTTGTCGAGTCTTTTTCTCTGGCGTTGCTCTCCACTCTTCTCATGGACGGATACGGATCGCCCCTGTACCGCGGCCTGATCGAGGCTGGTTTGGGAACTGATTTCAGTCCCAATGCCGGCTACGATAGCTCGGCGAAGTTGGGAATATTCTCAGTCGGTCTGACGGGTGTTCAGGAGGCTGATGTACCTAAGCTCAAGGCGGAGTTGCAGCGTATCCTTCGCGAGACCCGTGAAAAGGGGTTCGATAGGACCAAGATTGACGGATCTCTCCATCAACTGGAGCTGGCTTTGAAGCACAAGACCGCCAACTTCGGCATGTCCATGCTTCATAGGCTCAAGCCCAAGTGGTTCACCGGTGTCGATCCCTTCGACTCTCTTGCGTGGAACGATACCATCTCCGCCTTTGAGACCAAGCTTGCGAAGGGTGGCTACTTGGAGAGCTTGATTGACAAGTACTTGCTGAATGACAACACTCTGTCTTTCACCATGGCGCCGTCAACCACCTTCAGCGAGGACCTAGCACGCGAAGAGAAGGAGAGGTTGACTTCCAAGATCCAGCAGGCGTCCGAAGAAGCCGGCGGCGATGCTGCAGCTCGCAAGAAGTTCGAGGAGCGCGAGCTCAACCTTCTGGTCGAGCAAGGCAAGTCAAACACGGAGGACCTTAGCTGCCTTCCCACAGTCCATGTCAAGGACATTCCTCGCAGCAAGGGGCCCGTGGTTGTGCGCGATGAGACGGCCAACGGTGTCAAGATTCAGTGGCGGGAGGCTCCCACAAATGGCTTGACGTACTTCCGAGCCATCAACACGCTGGAAAACCTTCCTGATGAACTAAGAGAGCTGATCCCGCTGTTCTCCGATAGCATCATGCGACTCGGCACGAGGGATATGTCTATGGAGCAACTCGAGGATTTGATCAAGTTGAAGACCGGAGGTGTGTCTGTAGGCTACCACTCTACACCTTCACCAACCGACTTCCATCAAGCTAGCGAAGGTCTGATCTTTACTGGCATGGCCCTGGACAGAAATGTGCCTGTCATGTTCGACATATTGCGCAAGCTTGTGCAGGACACAGATTTCGATAGCCCAGAGGCCGCCCAACGCATCAGGCAATTGCTTCAAGCATCCGCCGACGGCGTTGTTAACGATATTGCCTCATCTGGACACCAGTACGCCCGCGGCTTTGCGGAGGCCGGGCTCACCCGTAGCGCGTGGCTCAGACAGCAGATCGGCGGTCTCTCTCAGGTTAAGCTTGTGACATCGCTTGCCAACCGGCCTGAATCAGACGGTCTGGTGGATGTCATTGACAAGCTCAAACAGATCCAGAAAATCGCGCTCTCTGGAGGAAACTTCCGCACGGCATTGACTTGCGGGTCCGAGAGCACGGGCGCCAACTTGAGTGCCCTTACTAGCTTCATGTCAACACTCTCCAAAGACCAGCCTTCGCTGTCACCTTCCAAGCCTGCTTCGCTGCAGAGGAACATCAAGTCATTCTTCCCGTTGCCGTACCAGGTGTACTATGGTTCTCTGGCGGTTCCCACCGTTTCCTACACGTCGCCGGACGGTGCACCGTTACAGATCCTGGCGCAGCTACTCACACACAAGCACCTCCATCACGAAATTCGCGAGAAGGGCGGTGCATACGGGGGCGGAGCTTACTCCCGCGGTCTGGACGGCCTTTTCGGCTTCTACTCCTACCGCGATCCTAACCCCCAGAACACCTTGTCGATCATGCGCAATGCTGGCCAGTGGGCGAGGGACAAGGAGTGGACGGATCGCGATCTCGAAGAGGCCAAAATTTCGGTGTTCCAAGGTGTGGACGCTCCGCAATCGGTCAACTCTGAGGGCATGGGTCGCTTCTTGTCTGGCATCACAGAAGAGATGAAGCAGAAGCGTCGCGAGCAGCTTCTTGACGTCTCCAAAGACCAAGTGCGCGACGTTGCACAGCAGTACATCGTTGAGGCTCTGAAGAAGGAGGAGGAACGGGTAGCCTTCTTAGGTGAGAAGCGCCCTTGGGTAGACGGCACTTGGTCTATCAACGAGATGGACATTAACGGCGCGAAATAAGAAGGGTTGTCGACACCACTTTTGTCGCTCCTTTTCAGCGTCTTCGATGTCGTCGTCGTGGGACAGAGGTCACGGCACCCATGATACCGCACGATACCATGACTTAGACTTGGCATTGACTCGAAAGAGAGCTGCCTGTGTACAATGACGACCGCGGAAGGCACATCGCCACCAGTCGTATCTGTAACTATATATGCTGCACATAACCTGTGTAATTATACCCAACTCTTGAATGAACGAACTAACCGAGGGTCACCGTGAGCCAATGTGCTTCCTGCAAAGTACGCGTTCAGATACGATACGTCTTCCTGCTACCTCAATGGCTTGGAGACCACTAGACGACGCAAGATCAAGAAAGATGAGCCTGGGGATCGCGAGGTTCGGCCCGCAATAACCGGCCCAGCTCGTTCTATCAGAACCGACATCCTCAGCATTGGGTCGTCGGACTAAAGCGCAGAGTACATGCCAAAGAGTGAAGTTGGCGATATCGGTGGATGAGATGTAGCAACCAATCAGATGAAGCCAATTAGTGCATAAGTATTGAACGGAAACACGCCGGATGAGTGACAGAACAAAAAGGCGCAAACATTGGACGAAAAATGGCGGCGCGAGTGCCCCGCATACGTCACTCCCAGGGGCGGCGCCACAATTCAAGGCACTGAGGCACGAAGTGGTGGACATGGGAGACTTCGTACACACTGTAAGTCAAGGTGGCACTGCGGCTCATGAAGAGGGCCCAGCCAAGGAGGGCTTGTGCCATCGCCAACACCACCACCAGGCCGAGAACCGAGTGGGCTGGTGTTTTGAGGAGGCAGCCCAGCAGGTACCCTTTACATATTACTCACCTGCCGTCTTGGAGGACACAGCCGAGGGTGGGAGGGAAGAGCAATGCCGCGAGTACGCGCCAGTAGAAGGGGGCAAAGGGTAAGAAAAGTGAGATGCACATGCTTCTGGGCGATGCGTGCCGGTTGGTCTGGTCTGGTGGTGCTGTGCACTCTTTCATTGCATTGAGCGGCCGTTTGGCCAGACGAATTTCCGCGCCCATGTCAGCGAAATGTGACAAGAGCTAGGCCAGAGCAGCGCGCGGAGCACGCAAAGCTCACCCCGTCCCGTTTGAGCTGGGTGCGTGAGAGTTGCATGGAACCAGGCTAATTATGGTAGCCGTCCGAGTGGACATGCGTGAGGGAATTTATCGGGATCCCGTGTGATGAGCCAGGACAAGCGAAGAGGCACTGCTGCTGCTGCTTGCTGGCTGGCTGGCTGGCGGGCGGGCGGCGGTCTGGAGTTTGAAAGTCTGGAGACTGGAGACCCCTCGTTACTTCACGCTACGTGCCTCGAATCCCGGGGGGGCAGAGCAAGGTACGGGATGAGACGTTTCCTCGCAAGGCAACGGGCGAGAGAGACAGAGTCGTGCTGACCGAAACTTGTGTCGTCGACGATGAAGCGAACGGCGACGGCTGAGTCGGTCTCAACGCGGACCGTTAGGGTTTACTAGCTCGTTGCTTCTCCAGAAAATGCCCTGTCCCATCTTGCCAAGTCCAAGTCTGGCGCGCCGTGCCTGTTTGACCGTCTCTGATCTTCGGTGCATGTCTTTCTCGCATGCAGGGCCAACACCGCAGCGCATCATTGGCAGCCTCCAGTCACACCTCAAGTCCCCGGGAGCACTGAGCATCACCGATCTTGCTGACACATCGGCAATTCTCAGACCGCAATTTTGCACCCCGAAACTACTTCTAGAAGCCGGCCAGGTACCACCACCACATGGCCTGTCTTGTCTTGCCTGCCTAGAGACAGAATCATTCGGCACCCCTCTTGTTCCAACTTCCATGTGCTCTGCTCCAGCATCCGCTACTGTCAACTTCTGCAACTAGCAGGCGTCTTTTGTGCTAGCCTCACCCGTTGTGGACAATGTGGGCAACGGTGATGTACTTGATGGAGTTTCAAGCGGTCCATGTCATTTGCAAATAGTGGTGACGACTTGGAACGGTAACGACGCAGAGTATGCGGGTGGTTCGTAATGGTGGAGGAATGCGTGTCAACCAAGACAAAGCCGGTAGGTGTTCGTTCTGCATCAAAATATACTTACATACAACGTCGTCGTAACGACAAGAGCAACAACAATCATGCCCAAATGGAAATGTATCTTCCCTTCGGCCCACCCGAGCCCAGGGCAGAGCACAGGAGGCCGGTACCATCTTTTAAGCTTCAGGTACTTTACTTGCTGTAATTGTTGCGCCCATTCTTCAGCGTGAGGTCATGTACGGAGTACATCCGATCACCCATGCATCTCAGACACCGGAACCTGCAGAACAAGGTACGCGGCCCGATGTACCACATGTACATGTCTCTCCCACGGGAGCGTCTCTCTCCACCACTGGTGGATGTGGAAGGCCTCAACTTGGAGGTTGGCTTTTTTTGTGGTCGGCAGCGGGTTCAACGGGATATTGAAACTGGGTACACCGGGATACTTGACCGAAGACTCAGCAGGCGAGCATCATTGTATGGAGCCGGGCTGAACCTTGGCTCCTGAGGAAAGCTTGCGGTCTGTACGGAGTATAGAGAGAGAGAACAGAGCAGACACCGGACGGGTCAGGAACGGTGATGAGTGAGTGATGTGGCTGTAGCCGCAGCTGTTGCTGGAAGTCAATGCTCCTTGACAAGGGGGAAATTTTTGAACAAGAAATTGTGGGCAGCTGTGTTTGTGTGTGTGTGTGTGTGGTGTGGCCAGCCCAGGCGTCGCCGCTCCACTAATAAGGTACCCAAAAGGACTTCTGGAGAAAGAAGACGAAACCTACCCTCAGAGCCCGTCGCAATAAAAAGCCTTTACGGACCCCCCCGCCACAAACTTGGTCCTCCAACACCAAACCAAAGGTTCATCGTCAACCAAATTGCTCGCCAGCTCCCGCTCTTCGCAAAACACCGCAACTGTTAACCAGCTACCTGGACCCGAGCATCGCCTCTCCGTCCAGTTGCAACAACTTGGTGAGTTCCGTCTTTTTTCTTCGAAACGGAAGAAGCTGTTGCCCGCAATCGCGCAACCTGCCTTGACCTTGCACGTCTCTCGCGTGTCACATGGCATCGTCATCGTGTCTTCACACACACAACAACACAAGCAGAGCCATTGCTGCTCCTCGCCCCTCACCACCACCACCCAGCAAAGCTTGCGACGGAAAATCACTCTCCTAATTCATGCCATTCACCATTTCCCTTTCTCATTTCCGTCTCATCGTCGACAACGCCATCAAGAAAGCCCTCATAGTGAAGAAGCTCCTCGCTAACCATACCACCTCTCCAGATCTTGTATAAAGATCACCCCTTCCCATCGCCGACTTAGCCTTTGGTCAACTCAAAGGCACAACAGCCCAGCACGGCTTCCCTGGCCGTGAGCTTCGTCAGTGACCAAGATTTCAGCCTCCGAAAGACCCGCCACATCGTCAACGCCATCCCGCCACCCGCTGCTGAAGTCGCCTAAGCAGAAGCTCGAGTTCTTTCTCTTCGACGCTTTGCTTCACCAGACGCCTTTTCTCTCCCCCAACCAGCTGCCGCATAGGACGGGTTTAGCGCCTCTTCCTCTCGCCGAGGGGGAGTCGAGGAGACCTCGTCAGATCACTGAGGGTTCTGTCTGCTACCGCTTTCGACCACCCTAGAACTCTCTTGCCGATTCTAGGTTCAACTTCTTCTTACAAACAAACCACCTTCGACAGCACAAACAACTGTCGAAAGAGAGGAGTCCGATAGTATCGAGACAACAACCCACCGACTTTCCACAAATCTCATCCACCCAACACCAACAAAACACCCCCATCAACCGCTTGGGATATGGTTATGGCAACAGCCGCGATCGAGCATTTTGCCCCAGCTACTATCAATTTTGCTAGTACCTACCACCAACCCGTCTTGAAGACGTCGCATTATGTCGAACACGCCCATCACAACAAACAGAATGGCGTGATCAACCCCAAGCAGCTGATTGGCGATGCTCTCCGCCAGCGCGTCGAGAGCATCGACCATGAGATTTGTGAGCCCGGCGACGAAGACACCTTCTTCGTCGGTGATCTAGGCGAGGTCTACCGCCAGCACATGCGCTGGAAGCTCAACCTGCCCCGCGTCAAGCCTTTCTACGCTGTCAAGTGCAACCCGGACCCCAAGGTCCTCCAGCTTCTTGCCGCCCTCGGCACCGGCTTCGACTGCGCCTCCAAGACCGAGATTGACCAGGTCCTCAACATGGGCACCGTTGCCCCCGAGCGCATCATCTACGCCCAGCCCTGCAAGACCAACTCGTACGTCCGCTACGTCAAGGCCATGGGCGTCAAGCAGATGACCTTTGACAACGCCGACGAGCTGCGCAAGGTCGCCAAGCTCTTCCCCGAGGCGGAGCTCTACCTGCGCATCATGACCGACGACGAGTCCAGCCTGTGCCGCCTGAGCATGAAGTTCGGCGCCGCCAAGGAGGACACCAACGAGCTCCTCGCCACTGCCAAGGACCTCGGCCTCAACGTCGTCGGCGTGAGCTTCCACGTCGGCTCCGGCGCCTCCGACCCCATGGCCTTCTACAAGGCCGTCTACGACGCCTACGAGGTCTTTGAGCAGGGCCGCGCCTACGGCTTCGACATGAAGACGCTCGACATTGGCGGCGGCTTCTGCGGCGACACCTTCGAGGACATGGCCGCCGTCCTCCGCGGCGCCCTCGACGAGTACTTCCCGGCCTCCAGCAACGTCAACATCATCGCCGAGCCGGGCCGCTACTACGTCTCTGCCGCCTTCACCATCGCCTGCAACATCATCGCCCGCCGCACCGTCGACGAGCCCTCCCTGAACGAGAAGCGCTACATGCTCTACGTCAACGACGGCCTCTACGGCAACTTTTCCAGCATCATGTTCGACCACCAGCACCCCGTCGCCAAGGTCCTGCGCGCCGGCCCCGCCACCGTCTACGACTGCCCCTCCGCCAACGCCTGCCCCGACGGCGAGGGCGTCCGCTACTCCGTCTGGGGCCCCAC